TCGAGCCAATGTTTTTGTCCCGCCTGTTGCGGGGTTAGTGCATAAATGGTGTACACGTTAGGCTCTAGAAGTTGGCGAAGAGTTGCCATTGCCGAATCACGTGCACTGGCGCTGTCCGAATAGACAAGCACATTCAGAGGTTTACTCTCGCCCAGGCTATCCTTATTGCGGCGCAAAACGGGACGCGGTCGGCTGGAGGATGAGGCTTTAGGCGGTGGCGAATTGGGCTTGACGGCAACAAAGCTTTTGCTGGGCGTTGATGTGTTTGCCGCTGCCATAGTTGAACTGTCCTGATCTGCTGCCGGCTTGGCGATAACCGTTTTTTCCTCTTCCCTAGGGTTGCTCAAAAGACTTTCAGCTGGAGAAGGCTGACTCAACTGCGTGGGCGATTTGATGGCCGTAGCAGTTTTACCAATATCTTCAGGTGGAGCCGGTTTCTTCGCTTGAGTAGGTTTGGCCGGAGATGGCGTCTTGGTGGTGGGTTCCACTACAGCTACAGCTTTAATAAGGCTTTGTGCTGCTGCAGGCGACTGCTCCGCCTGTCGCTGAAGCAACAAGTCCTGTTTAGGAATGCTTGCCTTAAATTCGTTGCGATTCTTTTGCTGCTCAAATTCGGTAGCCTGGCGTGCCAGTACGCTTAGTGCGCGTAGATCCTCCAAATGCTTCTGCCAGCCCTCCGCGCTAATCTCAGCCGCATTGCGCGATTGCCGCTTCAGATGATTGGCCAGCAGTTCAAACGGCTGCGGTTGACCCTCTCGCTGCACAGCTGCAAATGTATACGGTAGATATTGTTAGATTGTGTGTAGATCAAATCGAATTGCAATCAGCTAATGGGCTTACACTCAATCCTCATCAGTGGCAGCTGATCATTAATGAATAAATTATTTTGTAAAAATGTCATTATCAATAGTTGTGTGAAATGCTCAACATCCGTTTCGATGAGTACTGCCAGGTGGGAGTCTATTTTCCATGCAATTAGCTTACCATAGGATTCCAGCTGACAACGACGACATCGGCGGTGATTGATACAGGGACAGCATGAAAAGAGACGAGTAAACAAAATCTGCATTATACATACATACTTTGTGCGAAAATAGCTTAAGATATGACGCAATCTTCTTTTTATTAACCAAACACACGCGAAAAAGTGCTTTAATTCGCTTGACAAAATTAAAGCACTTTCCATCCCATTTTAGATATAGAAGTATTAACAAGAACAAGAAACGCTTTGGTCCTCTAAATAATTGTTTGAGACATTTGTAAATAAACTCAAACTATATTATTTAACACTTCGATGCTAATAAGATTTGCCCAATATGTTAGTAGGATATTGAAGCTCAATATCGTTGAGTCTAGTTAGAATAGTTTCCCCCGACCCGATCCGACTGATAAGTTAGGAAAGGTTTCAACAGTCTAGTATAAGACCCAAGGAATAATCTGCACCCAAACAAACAATAAGGGGCACATTATTTGATTGGTTTGGCTATGGGTACTAATCAAGAATATATATAACTCAGAGTCGGAGATGTCGGATATCGAAATGGAGAGTTAATATGCCACCAATTTGACTTACCCGCACCGGTACGCTGTGTTGGGCACTTTCTGCTTCCCGTTGCAGCTCTACTTGCGCCTCAAGCAATAATTGCAAATGTTGACTCTTATCCGGTGACAGAGTTATTCTGGGTTGCGGCTCCATTTCCGTTGGAGTCGTAACGGGTGTAAGGGTGTCAGCTGCATAGGCGAACGGCAGCCAACTGGGCGCAGGAGGAAAACTAATCCATGGCGTAATTTGCACCGTTTGCAATGGACGCAGACAGCAACCGTGCTGATTGCCATGCAACCACAATATATCCGTGACCTTGGCCGCATTGCGATTACCGCACAGCTCCGAGCTGGCAATTGTAGCATCTGCTCGCACACGACAACAAACACCAAAAATAATTAATACGCACGTAGAGTGTGCACAATTCGGTGTGCTGCACTACTCACCGAAGCCGTCGTCGTTGCCAGGTGGGATTGCATAGAAGGCAACGCTCGACGACTGTGCCAATTGCTCGGCAATTTTATTGCAGGCCCTTTGAATTCGCCAGGACTGCAACAAGGTGGCGCTCGCGTAATAGAGGGTCAACATCTTGGACAAACTGGGGGTAACGGTCACAGAGCTACAGTTTTAAAGTATAACCATTTGACACAAGAACGCACGCACAATAATATGGACACGGCTGCTGCCAAAGCTGGCAAAATCAATTTGCGGTTTCGTAATGTAAGCAAATTAGATTTGCTTTTATCACTGCTGGAGCACACTGCCTCTTCCGGGCTTCCTTAGCAACGGTTTGACACAGTTTTTACATTCCGCTATGCCATGACATTTATTGTTGATTTCTTCACACGCAAATTCGACGCGACGCATCAAAGCTTATCAAAATGCTTGATAACAAAGTGCGCCATTCACAATGAAGCGTTTAAATCAGCTGTTCTTTTAAAAATGGCTCCCAATAGAATATTTTATGTAAAACTAACAAACGTATTACAATTGAACTACCTAGCTCTACCTTTTAATGATTTCTTTATAACAAACTACCGTTCTTACCAAAGCAACGAAATCTATAATTTATAATATTCTTTCTAACAATTTTCTAACAATGTACATTTTCATTAGTATTTTAAATAAGAATAAACGGCATAGCGCCAATTACCTATATTTTATATATTTCCAATTAAACAGTGTTGTTTTCTTTGAATAATTTGTTAAAAATATTACCGGTCGTGCCGGGCATCCAGTTTCACTTGCTGCCTAAGCCCTGCTTGTAATCGATATCGATAAGTCAAGACAACACTATTGTTATCGATATGGCTCTAAAGAAAGAGCCGCTGTTTTTATGCCCTTTGGATGTGCTGAGGGTCTAACTATTTTTTTTAACACAACAACTATTATTTTTAACTCAATTTATTGTAAACTATTTGTCACTGAACACTTTTACCAATATTTTTTTAATTTACTTAACACATATAAGTTATGGCAGATTTTCAGACATTGATGCATTCTGTTAATAACATTTTAGTACACTGTTAAGTGAGAAGCAAAAGAAGAGCAAAAGACAACACGAAAAACACGCGTCAAAAAGAAACATAAAAAAATAAATAAAGTGGTTTAACAAATATTTGAAGTGGAATTAAAAGTCCAGCGCTTACAGCAAATTGTAATTTGATTAAGCATAAGTGAAGTTTTATTAATATGATAGAAGACTCTGGCATAAATTAGAAAAGATTTTTGATAATGCAATTTTACTTGAGCCGTAGAAGCTCTTGCACTTAAACGAAAACGCAATAAATTTAGGGCTTAGGCGGCAAACGGCATGTTACTGGGCTTGAACGAGCTGACCACAACGCGGCGACTTTTGTTTATTGTAGCAGTGCTGCTGATTGTGCTTTATGCAAAGAATAATATTCTGCCCAAATTGGAGTGGTATTGGACAGCGATTAGCTTATAGTCGACATAAAGATGACTGACAGACGTGTCTCGTACTTCTACAACGCCAATGTGGGCAATTTTCACTATGGTGCAGGGCATCCGATGAAGCCGCAGCGCTTAGCCGTCACACACAGCCTGGTTATGAACTATGGCTTGGACAAGAAGATGAAAATTTACAGGCCGTACAAGTAAGCATTTGCTATTGCATACGTAACGAAACTAAATTCCTTTTTCCCACATTGCAGAGCAAGTGCACAGGATATGCTGCGGTTTCACAGTGATGAATACATCGCCTACCTGCAGCAGGTGACTCCACAGAATATACAATGCAATTGTAAGTGAAGACCTCCCATCATGCACTTACAACTGTTCTCTCTCTCATTTTATTGTTGTATCCTACTTGCAGCCGTCGCTTATACGAAGTATTTGGCTCACTTTAGCGTGGGCGAGGATTGTCCCGTCTTCGATGGGCTTTTTGACTTTTGCGCCATGTACACGGGCGCTTCACTGGAGGGCGCACAAAAGCTGAATCACCATCACAGCGACATATGCATTAATTGGTCTGGCGGTCTGCATCATGCCAAAAAATTTGAGGCCTCCGGCTTTTGCTATGTCAACGATATTGTAATTGGAATACTGGAGCTGCTAAAGTATCATCCGCGTGTTCTGTATATAGACATCGATGTGCATCATGGAGATGGAGTGCAGGAAGCATTCTATTTAACGGATCGCGTGATGACAGCTTCGTTTCACAAATATGGCAACTACTTCTTTCCGGGCACTGGTGATATGTATGAGATTGGTGCCGAGTCTGGCCGGTATTATAGCGTTAATGTGCCTCTCAAGGAGGGTATTGACGACCAGAGCTACTTTCAAGTGTTCAAGCCGATCATTTCTGCGATTATGGATTTTTATCGGCCTACAGCAATTGTGCTGCAATGTGGCGCAGACTCATTGGCTGGAGATCGTCTAGGCTGCTTCTCGCTCAGTACTCGCGGTCATGGCGAGTGCGTTAAGTTTGTCAGGGGTTTAAATGTGCCCACATTGGTAGTGGGCGGTGGCGGATACACTTTGCGCAACGTTGCACGCTGCTGGACACATGAAACTTCGCTTCTAGTCGACCAGGAAATTGCTAACGACTTGCCCGTAACGGAGTACTATGATTTCTTTGCGCCAGACTTCACACTACATCCTGAGGTTAACTCACGACAAGACAATGCTAACTCAAAACAGTACTTGGAGCTGATCGTGAAGCATGTGTATGAAAATCTAAAAATGTGCCAGCACTCACCAAGCGTGCAAATGGTGCAAACGCCGCCGGACGTTGATATAGAGGAGCTACGCATGAAGGAGGAAACGGACCCAGATGTGCGCATGTCACAGACGGATGAGGATAAACTGGTTGAAGCAAAGAACGAGTTTTATGATGGTGATCAAGATCAGGACAAACCGGATTCAGTAGAAAGTTAATTATATACAATAATGTCACAGTATAAGATATATAAGATATGAACAAAATGTTTGCACCTTTGGCTTTAAAATAGACAGACATGTATTTATTATATGTATATATTGCCGACCAAAACTGGACAATGCTGAACGCAGTTTGTACCATGCAACAATTTACACGAATCCTTAATAGTGATTATAAATTTGTCGAAAATAATTATAAGATAACTAAATACATTAAATGCCGGCAACTTAAAACATTATAAGTATTCTACAGCGCGGATATTATTTGATTTGTTTATAATCACTATTATTAGAGCTGGAAAATTGTCAACTCAATTGATTGAGACATAATTGGATGTGCCACTAAAAGTATTTATGGACTTGAAAAACGCTGAATGCGCTTTAATGAAATATGAAAACTTAGTTGACAAATCTAATGACTTTTTTCCAACTCTTAGCCGTGTGCATTGATAAATAATGGGGTGACAGGAACAATCCGTTTCGACTACCAGCCCGTTGTTGTATTGGCCAAACGTCGCATGCGTCGAGTATTTCGATCCTGGTCACGTATTTTCTTTTCCATTTCGGCATCGGTTAGCGTCTCTAGGAATGGTGCCCATGCATCCGCATCGCTCGGATTGCGAAAGGGCACATCGATTGTGGACAATGGAGCCTCGCTAAACGCATAGGTCCGACAATGCCATGATAGTTGACCCCGTATGCTATACGCAATCGCCGTAACGAATTCCCCGCCCAGTCCCAATTCGGCGCACAGCTTGATGGCAAACTCTTCGGGATTATTATTTTTCTCTGACATGTCCCATTCGACTTGGTCAACAAGCGATGTGTTTCCCACGTGAATGTTGAGTTTGACTATAACGCGTTGGTCACAGCTCTCTTCCAGTATGGGCGGATCATTGGGAAACGCTTCGATTTGCTGGCGTATAGCCTGTGCAATGGCTGGAACGAATGGCAGGGGATTCAAATCGAGATCATCGCACAGAACTTCGGCGAACTGTTCAGGTGTTATCATGCTCTCATTTTTGTTCCATGTGAAAGTATCACGTAACTTTTGCCCCTCAAGTTCCATATCCAAACGTATGGGCACTAGGCACTCCTTCTGTGCTGCGTTCTCCAGACTCGCGGTTGGGTCTGTGTCGTCAAAACACATGGGAAATGTCCGCACCTTTTTAGTGTGCACCCGATTGCGATTGATAGGCGTTGCCTGAGGCACTGCATCAAGGTGGCTTGAGTTTGGCATTGTTGGTACATATTGAGGCTGCTTCTTTGATTTGCTCTCCCGCGGTACTGGTGTATCCGAAGTGTTTACCGACACTGCGCGATATCTAGAAATGCGTTTAAAATGTTAATACATATAAAAAATGATATAAGTCAGACTGAGCCCACTTCTCATCATTGCCGGCCATAATGTCATCAACTTCTACGGCGCGGAGTAGCGACACCGAACTTGCCAATATGTGTGAACTGAGGCCAGAATCGGCAAGACGCTTCCTCTCCTCATTGGAGAGAACAATACGGGTCATACCCGGATACTTTTTATAGAGGATGCCACGGAAGTGCCGCATATAATTGCCCACCTCCGAGCCCACATAATAGTACTCGCCGCCCTCTTCCAGTTGGAATGCCACTGGCTTATCACCGTATGTCTGCAGCGCCATCTTTAATGCGTATGTACACTTGTGCAGTAAACTCTGCTTTATGCAAATTATATTTAAGTTTTATTAAATAATTTATTTCAATAACTTTTGGTCACAAAAAAATTTTCATGCAAACAGCGACATGGCGTCGTTAAGGTGACCAGCTCTCAGAAATATTGTGCCAATACAGGGCTGCATCAAATTAGACATATCGCAAAAAAAAAAATCGTGTAAATAATTAATGTTATCGATTATTTTTCAATCATAACGACGTACGGTGGCAATACTGTTGTCCATATGTACCAACGTTTTGATTAAATATTCTTAATTTAACAAGAAAGATGTCCTTATTGCGCTGTGTTGCCGGTGTAATAGCACTTGCGAGGCCCATTAACAATGCCAGTACAAGTATATTATGAAAAATTTGTGAAGTTCATATATCAAATAAAATTTTTTTCAGTTCAAACACAGCGACACTTTAAACGCTGGGTCTCACCAACGTTACGTGAGCTAGCACACCGGGTTAAAAAACAAGGACCGCAAAAACCGGAGCCACGCTCCGGATTTGTTGAATGGAACTATCGCTCAGAGCTGTTTGCTTTCGGTAAGCGATTGAATGAGGAATTTCAGTTGCCGTTGCTGCAGACAGCATTTACGCAGCGCACATATGCGCATCAGGAACAGGAGCGCCAGCGGATGCTGGGTATTGCAGAAGCGGATCTGCAAACAGCCGACAACAGCCAATTGGCAGCCAAAGGTGCACACATTGCCAAGGCCTATGTGGAAGCATATTTGCAGCATGCGTTACCCAAAGTGCCATCGGCTGGACATCAAGCAATTGCATCATACCTGCTAGGCACTGAAACGTTAGCTCATGTATCCACTCACCTGGGAACCAAGGAGCTCATCTTTTCCACAGAGTATCCACCAAGCAGTGAAACACTGGCACAAACTCTGCAGGCGATCATTGGAGCACTGGCTGATTCGAGTGGCGTAGAGCGTGCATTTTTATTTGTGCGAGATTTCATTTGCACACAACTTAATCAAAAGGATTTGCTTGAGATATGGACACCAGAGCAACCATTGCAGTTACTCAGTGAAGTCTGCACAGAACGGCAGCTGGGTGAGCCGGAGCCACGCTTGTTAGGTGATTGCGGCAAGAACACTGTGTTGGCTGCATTCCAAGTTGGCATTTACGCTAATCGCCAATTGCTGGGCAAGGGATTTGGAGAGAATGTGCAGACGGCTACAGAAACGGCGGCTATCGATGCATTGCAAACGGTTTTCGAAATGCACGAAAATCGACGACCATTTGACTTTCGGATGCAACTGGAGGCCAAAAACGTGAAGCTGGGCTAGCTTGGGTGTTGCTAATCAATTCTATTTTTATTTGCTCTAAACACATGTACTTCCTGAATGGTCAAAAAAAGATTTGAGTTTGAATATCGTTAACCACGAAACAACTAGTCTATTATATTTCTTTAATCACTCTCTTCGCCTGCGGGCGTCCCGATCGGTGGCGTGCTAGCATCGTCCGGCTTTGATTCGAGCGAGAACGGCGGTATTTTGCAGTCAAACGCGTACCCATCCTCGCGCTCCAATCGAAAAGTTCCCCACATGTGACCGCTGGGTGCCTGTAGACTCACATGGCTACTGTATTGAAAAGCTGGTAGTCGCGGACTCAGTATGGGCTCCTGGCCAACAACCCCGCGACCGCGCACTGTTTCCAGAGTACCCGACAATGAGAATATACGCCAATGCCGTTCACGCAACTGCACACTGAGTTCACCCAGATTTTCTAAACGTATGCAATACCGCCACTACAATAAAATTCAAATTATGGTCATTCTGATTGTTGACGATTGAAATTCAGTTTCGGCTCTTTTCTCACCCAATAAACCGAAGATGCGGGGGTTTCGCGGCAGCCCATATAGAAAGGTATCACGGTGATGCGCACATTTTCGGTTGTCTCCTTGTGCACATCGCTCATGTCCAGCCATGGATGATTCTTTTCCTGCCACGCTTTGAGGGTATCTTGACCCACAAATGGCGGCTCAGAATCTGGAGCATTTGTTAGAAACTTGTCGAAGAGTTCGTGCTGCAACGGATGCTTATCGGTTGAGGAATATGGCATGATGTCATCGTGTGCAACATAATCCAATCCAGGAATCGCATACAAGCTGCGATTCGAATCCTGATTACCTAAGAAGGTGACAGCCTCAGTTTGGGCCCGCTAAAATAACGTATCAGTTAACTTATTGCAAATAGGGAAACAATAACATTCACTCACAATATACGGACAGTCCCTGGTATCAATCAGCACCTGATAAAAGGTTTGCGTTTTGCCCTTAACATCTTTGGCATCAGTAGCACTGCTCGTGGCGCCATTAGTTGTCGTTTTGGCGGTACCCAAATTTGTGGCTCTCTGCGTGTCAGTGGCACTATTGCTAGCGTGCCAGGACGTGGGAGCATCATCGAGCTGTGAGGTAGCTGTTGTCCCGCTGCCTTCGCTGCTCCCCGCGTTAACTCTCAGTGGTGAAGCTTCTTTGGCGCATTGTGTCGGCGTCGGCGTTGTTGTTGCCGTTGTCTGCTTCTTAGGATTGTCCGAATCGCGGTCGTAGACGCGAGCCGTCCATGGAAAGAGTATAACACCGCGATAGCCAAAGATTCGATGCAAGAACAGCTGCCCGGTATCGTATTTGCCTTCCTTTGCTTCTAACAGACGGCCAACCTCGGCTAGTCTAGAATGATAAATACATAAGTCATATTATGCAACTTTTGCTTTTTGTTAGTTGGCGGTGCGCAGTGGGCCCACCTCCTGAACCCCTGACCCCACATGATAAATAAGACAACTCTTACTTGGTTGGACTGACGGCCTGCTTCTTAACGTTTCGCTTCACTAATATATCACATTTATGCAGCAGTTGCCAACGCTTGTCCCATTTGAAAAAGTGCAGCAGTAAACCCATTTGTTGTCAATTGCAATATTTTGTAGAAAGTGCAGCAGCAGTCCGTTGTCGCCCTGAAAGAATCTTGGACCAGCTTTTATGCAACTGAATTGCGGTATGGCGACCAGTTATGTTGTTACGTTTTTCAAGTACATACAGTTGAAAGTAGGTACAAGAGCTAGTGAATTTTGTAGTTTTCCTAATTTTGTTATTCTGGAAACATTGTTATTGAAATATTTAGTTTTGTTTTTTTTTTTTTTATTTTGACTTCTTTCCCAAGTCAATACGATTAATTTTCTGTGTTGCGCAGCAACACTGCGCAGAAATGTACTATCGATATATATTTGAGAAAACAGCTGCAATGCAGCTCTGTCTGACAGACCTGTCATCGTCTCGCTCTTTCGCCATTCGACAGATTTCCGGTATGTACGCGGATTTTACGCTATGGCTTGAAAAAATATGAAAATATAGCCGAATATTGTAATAAAACCCAAAAATTATTGTGACTATGCATAGATGAACAAATGTTTTGTGTTAGCAAAATGTTAATGTGCTCTTAAGAAGTGCAACCGATCCGATGTTTATGGCTAGAAACCAAGTTGCCCACAAGTCTGCCAACCAAAACAAATGAAAAGCCAACTAATTGTGAATTCCAGTTGTTTTTATGTAACGATGTAATTAAACTTTCGTTGTTGTTTATATTTTCAGTGAACTATGGCTGACACACAAGCTAAGCCCGCTGCGTCTAAAGCCCCCAAAGCGCCAAAGGCCGCCAAGGCGCCGAAGGCCGCTAAGGCACCAAAGGCAGAGAAGGCTGCCGCCACCGAGACGAAAGTATCTGCCAAGAAATACAAGCGTCATGGTCGTCTGTTTGCAAAGGCTGTCTTCACCGGATACAAGCGCGGTTTGAGGAACCAGCATGAAAACCATGCTATCCTTAAGGTAAGCATTCCGTACTTATAAGCTTGTAACATAATTAAACCAATTCTGTGTCTATTACAGATTGAGGGCGCCCGTCGCAAGGAGCACGGCGAGTTCTACGTTGGAAAGCGCTGCGTGTATGTCTACAAAGCGCAGACCAAGAAGTGTGTGCCACAGCATCCTGAACGCAAGACCCGTGTCCGCGCTGTGTGGGGCAAAGTTACTCGCATCCACGGCAACACTGGATCTGTGCGTGCTCGCTTCAACAGGAATTTGCCCGGTCATGCAATGGGACACCGCATTCGCATTGTAAGTAGCTAATTAGGGAGAAATTTGAATTGTCTCACTTATGTGTATTCACTGTTGTTTCAGATGCTGTACCCATCAAGGATTTAAGTTAATTATTAACTTTAAATGACCTACAAAAATCCGTTTTCTATAATAAATGAAACAATTTAAATTTAATTGAAAGCCATGGTGTGAACCGATTTTTATTTATATTTTAAATGAGACGTAGCACGGCCCGTTCTCTCACTTCGCTGGAAATTGGCCTAGTTGGAAAATGTGGAAAATTAATTTTCCAGAATTCTTTCCCTGGTAACTAATTTAAAGCAAAATGTGTCTTGAGCTTTCTAACTTCGATAAATGGCCAGCTGTTGAACATAACAGCAAAACCGAAGAGTGACCAGGCAGCGTTAAAAAATGTTATTTGGAAGACTTCTAATTTTGCTACTTTAAATACTATATGTTTTTAGAGCCCTTTCTTTGTCAAACACATCTTTTTTACATGAATTTTATTTTTAAAGGAACGCAATTTGTTCACATAATAAAAATACACGTTGGAATCAATTATTAGTTGTCCCTTACAAGAAAATTCACAGGTAGTCGCACATTCCGTCAATCGTTTCAAGTCTGATATAAATTGAAGTGCAAAACGAGCTCTTTTGACATGTTTCTCGTCATTTATAGTTTCAAATATATAACAACAAAGTTATTGTTAAAGGCAACTGAAGTTAATTGTTCTTGATTCTATCCAAAAATCGTTCATTGTATTAAAATCATTGGAGGTATACCCTTATTGTTATCGATTTATAAATCGGTTAACAGAAAACTGTTACCGATTAAGAAGCAACTATGTATTAACATATTTGTAATTTTTATGTTTATCCCTACGGTCACACTACTTAGTCCATTTTAAATAAACCGTTCATTGCCGAAGGTGGCGTCGTTTTTCGCAGTACAAAAATTGATAATTATACAGACAAAAGCAAATTTTTCTCAAGAAATACAAACGGTATGTAAATAATTTGTAATTGTTAGCTAATAAATAGCGCAACTCAGCATCGACTTGTTGCATACTGTGCTAAACAAAATCGATAATGTTTGAAAAGATAATTATCATCTTTTCACTTGTGTGTTTGTGTCATGGAATTTTGAGGCTATCCAAACTATGTATTTGCTTGCGAATGATGATGATGATATACCGATGATGAAGAAGGGCTTCACACGGACAACCAACATTTACATCTGTATCTGTGCTTGTGCATGTATATGTGCATTCGTGTTGTGCAGCTGCTTTTATATTTTATTTAGAACATCTGCCAGAACGCCATTTGTACATATACTCAAGCATAAAAATAACACGGCACATCCCATACCACGATATTCCTGATTACGCTCCACACTCGCCAACCGCACCATGGCCTCTCGGCTGCCTTAGTGGCCATGTTTGCATTTAGCTTTTTTAGGCGAGCGACTGCATGCATCATACTTAATAATCGCATGCGCTGGCTAAAAACTAGCTACAGGCAGTTTTAACCGAACTTTTAGCACTGGCTAAACAAGGCATGCATACATACATACGCTCATACATGCATATATGACATACAAACTGTGTGCATATGTGTGTTGATTTTTTTTTTGTTTCGCCGTGGGGAAGTGACGCTTCTCTTCGGGTCACTTTTAAGGCAGCGCAGCAAATTTGTCTGCTAATGTTCATTAGCCAAATGAGTAATATCGGTTGGTCAGCACTGGTTAAACTAGATTTGCTTTTTGTTATATGCGTAAAATGTGTATTTATATTACGATATCTTATTGTTATTTGCCTATATTAATTTTGTCATCCGCTTTACGTCTAGACATTGGGCAATAAACGTCGTAAACATTGACAATAGCGTAACAAGAGAGCGAGAGAGTCAAATCGAACCGGCGTAACTTCGATTTCAAGTTTCATCCAGATTGCTCATTACTCATAATTTCTGAAAAAAAAAATACTTACACACACATACTGATAGAGCCGCTATTAATACTAACAGTAATTGCGTTTGTATGTGTTACCTATGGCGGAGAAGTGCCGGTCGACGTGACCAATACATCGAAGTAAAAACCATTGTCAATTATCATTAACGTATATAGAGACATATATGTATGTGTAAATATGTATGTACATGTTTATGTAAAATTACAATAGAGTTCTCCTTTTAGCATCTGTGATTGCCATTTAATAATGTTAGCAATAGGATACAAGTCCGCTTTTTAGAGATTTTTGACTTTTTGCATTATTCGGTCATTCACTTTGCTTTGTCTAACATACATATGTACATGTATTGCATATACATACCACAACATAATTGTGCTGGTGTGTTTATGTATGTTGTGCATCCCCGGGGGGAGCTCGCTCATGACTGCTGCCTCCCACAAAGCATGACGCATCATTGCCCGCGTTTTACAACACTCGCAAATATGACCGCCTGTTGCCCCCACTTTGACCTCTTTCATGCCCAAGCTGACTACAAGCTGAAGAAGGCACTTGCCTAAATCTTGAAAGCAGAATATTGAGAGCAACTTGAGGGGCTCCAAATTGCTATTGTTTTGGGTGGCACTTTTCAGCAATGTTGTTGTGCATAATGTGCAACAGCTTGAAATCAAAATGAATTCCAAATAAACCAAAAACATAGTAACAATGAGAAAGTGTGTGGCTGGCTGTTCCGCAATTATAGTTAACGGGAAAGTGCAAAAGAACGCGGCGCTCAAAAATAGAGATAGCGCTTATGTATGTAAGTATGTGTGCAGTATGTACATATTATATTCGTAAAATGTATGTATGTATAAATGTATGTGTCTGTAGAAAAGTGAACACAGCCGAATGGGCCGTATGTGTGAGGTGGATGGATGGGGGTAAATGTTGTCAGTGCGAATGTTCCATTCTGCTGTTGTCTGAATCTGTTGAACGTTTCTCTCTATTCTGGCATTTTTCCGCATGGTTCAGTTGGCTAACGCCCGTCACCGTTGTTACTTCATTGTTGGCCGCCTTTGTAAGTGGCGTGACTGTATTCGTTTATTTACTGTAGCTATGTACATAGCCGATAGATGAGTGCATGCTAGAAAGTTTGAGCAAGTTTTTACATGTAATCCTTTTTTATAGCTTTATATATATACTTATGTCTTTTCCCTTTATGCATTTACAGTTTCTTCAACATAAGCATTAAATATGACATCCACCGAATTGAAAATTGGCTTGGGTACCAGCGCTCGTCCTTCCAGTCGCGTACTGAAGCCTCCAGGCGGTGGACATACTAACATCTTTTCGGAACCCGAAGTAGCTGTTAATGCACCGCGTTCCAAATACAATCAACAAAACTCTTCCAATATGAACGCATGCATAGGCTCGACAGATGCCAACAAGGTTGTGGAGAAGCTACGAGATGAGGTAGCCAGCCAAAAGGAGGAGCCAAAGCCAGCGCCTGTCAGCCAGCCCAAAGAAACAACCAATGGCAACAAGGCGGCGACAAACGAACCGGCACGTGGCCGTGTTCCACCCGGCGGTTACTCATCAGGAGGTTTTTGGTAGAAGAAGAAAGATGGCTAAGCTGTGTGGCTGTCACGCATTTACTGACGCTCTCATACACTCATGCATACACACAAACACACCAAGCATCCTCAAGCCCATTATACATTTATAAATATAAATCGCTTAATATACACTTATATAGCCTATACAATAATATTCATATTTAAAATCGGCTTATACGCAAGATGCCTAAAAACGTAAGATGAGAGTTATGCTTTATACCAACCTCTCTTTATCCTGCTCTCTGATTTTTGCATTTAATGTTTTTGTTTTTGTTCTATTAAGCAAACTATTTAATAACGTCATACGCAATGTTTTAAACTTTAAATGACTTCCGAATCCGCCCTAACGTACCATACAAATATGGAAGAAGCCCAACTTTGCATTTGTACTTAAGTGTTCCAATTGAAAATTGTAATAGTCTGCAAAATTTGTTCTAACTTCATTTCTAATTACATATATGTATTATTGCAAAAAATAAACTAAACATTTAAAAATTGATAAAATTGTTGTTTTGATTTTGATTGTCTTAATTTCTATCGATAGATGAGTAGGACGTAACTGTTCCTTTGTTAGCGTAGGAAATTTGATGATGATGATGATAAAAAGGAGACAATAATGATATGGATGAAGCCATGTCAAAGATCCATAAAAAAGTTCCACGCTCAAGTCGAAGAAATATTACTTTCAGTAGACTTGACAGAACACGCACAAGTTTTCCATTTTCCTATCCAATCAAATTGTCAAAATTAAAATGTTCGATTAATTTCAATGAATTTAACAGCTCTAGACGCGCATACATTCGACGACATGAAAACGGCTCACATATTAAACTTGGGTTTGTCATTATATCTAATATTTATTATACCTGATTTTACAAATATCATGACCATCTTGTCATTGTTCTTTTATAAAGTAAAATTATGTTTACGAATAAATACATTGTTATGTATTCATGAATTATCAACTAGAATGGCGCCACATTGACACATTTAACAAATTAATGCGCAAGCCCAAACAGCATTATGTATAATTTAAATGAAAAATTATGTAAGATGTTATAGACATTATGACTAAAAGCTGTTCTCGAACAAGTTCGGTTCGTTGAATTGTTCTGGTTGTTGAACCATAATAATGAGTCAATATTCTTGTTTTAGGCTAAGTTCATACTATAGCTAATTAGATCTTCATGTCATTAATATACGAATCTAATTCAGCATCTAGTTCTTCGGCAGTTGGAGCGGCTTTTCTCTCACGCCGTTGGGCACCCGCAGCTGGTTTTCCTCCAGCTGGACGTTTGAAACTTCCACGACGCGGTCCACCTCCTACCTGCCCACCTAAAATATAATTACCTTGTTGAATACAGGAACATAAATGTATTTTTACTTATACATACCACCGCGTTTAAACTGTGACCCTGCGGCTGCGCCAACACGACGTTTCACATCATCGGCAGGGACTGGCCGCGTCAGAGCGGCTACATCTGAGACGGCAAGTTGTATTGTCATAGGGCGACCATCTAAGGGTACGCCATGATATTGTTTAATAGCTTTGAGGGCGTCAGAACGACGCTCGAATATTACATCAGCGGTGCCTGCGGGAAATTATACAAATACAACATTATCGAAAAGTTATGGAGGATAAATGTGTTGACGGACTTACCCAACGAGCGACCTGAACGATCATAGTGCACGGCAGCCTTCTTCATCGGACCAAAGTCATTGAATAGCTCCTTGATGTCCGTATTTGATACTCCGTAGTCCAAATTGCCGACTATCAAACGAGTTGGCCCCGTACTGTTGCCAGCACTGCCGTTTCGTTTTGGACCATCGTACATATCATGCTTCCAAGCGCTGTTTACATCACCCTAAAGGGGGGATTAGGTAGAAGATTTGTTGGTTGATTCGAACGGTACGCGTGGGGACAAGTTTCTGATCAAATATGTGGGAGATGTAGTAGTAGCAGCAGCAGCAGTTGTTGTATCCTAGCCACATCAAGAGGACGCCATCGCAGAAATGCAGAAACACTAAATATGTATGAATGTACATTGATTGACTGCCATTCTTTGGTTGTTTTGACAAGTGCAAACGAAAAATATTGAACGTGTTATAAACGGGGAAAGAAAAAGAGTTCGCAAGAAGCGCTAAGTCCTCAACGAAATGTAGGTCTGTAAAACTTTTAAATACATAAATGAGTTTGATTTCGATGCAATTCTGTGTATCTCTAGTTCTGTTGATGCCGGGCCATCCTTAACACAACCAAATAGTGCGGCTGTGCAATGTTTTTGTTTAATTTTTATTTTTATAATTTGTATATGCCCACTGGCAGCCGCCATTTTGCAGCTATGCCTGTCCACATGGTACATGGTAAAAGTAACGGTGCAGATACCGTTTGTTCTGCATATGGTAGCCATTTTGATTCCTTGTTTGCAGCTGTTAGCACAGTTGATATTGTCAGTGTTTGTTTATATCAGATTACGTGAAATTCGCAAAGAATCGTGAGTGTCCAACTCGGGCTGTCCTTTTTATGCATATGCATGGATAATTTGCTGCTTTTTGGCTCTCTACATGACAAAACGTAACGTTTCAATTACCCTTGCGAGCCGAGGCTTCTGTATTGCGCCGCTACCGCCACCGCGGCGACCTTTGAGCACACCGCCGGCACCACTCGCTGGTGCTGGCTTTCGTGGTGAGCCACTATTAGGACCGCCGCCACGGCGTGTTCCACCAGTGCCAAATCGCTGTTGTCCGCCGGGCCGGCGAGTTCCACTTGGTCCACCACGACCACCCTGTGGTTTCTTCTGTGTGCGCGTCGACTTAATGATATCATCCAAACTCATTTCAATTTTATCCACCATTTTGCTGATTTTATGTTTTCCTTCCAGATGCTAAAGAGATCGTTAGAGTTTCGTTGTAATTGGTTTATTAGCGCTGTAAACAATTTGCTGACACGAACGCGTGAAATTTTCGACAACTGATGAAACCGACGCACGAGAACGAAAATTTACAAAAGTTAAAGATGGCTGACTTCAATGAAAAAATGTGCTGTACAACATTGAAAACATGCCTACTTAGTGTTGCAAAACGCTTACACATAATATTAGCCTATCGATAAATTCACATCCCTCACCCGATTACAGTGTAATAATTTACACAACTGTCAACAACAAATATAAAGGCTGTTAAACATTCCAAAGAACTAATTTTAATATGTTTATTGTGGCTGTAACTGGTGGCATTGCCACAGGAAAAAGCACCGTGACCAAGGTTTTCGAACGTCATGGCATTCCAGTTATCGACGCGGATAAAATTGCCAGGGAGAGTAAGTCATACATAATACGGGATGTTGTAATTGAGCGCAATTAGCGTACCTCAACTTAAATTAACTATACGTGACTACCACACAGTTGTAGAACCAGGTCAACCATGCTGGCATAAGATACGTGCCGCTTTTGGCGACGAAGTACTGCTGCCCAGCAAAGAGTTGAATCGGGCTGTACTGGGACGGCTGATCTTCGAGAACAAGGAGTTACGTGGGAAACTCAACCAGATTACACATCCTGTCATACATCGCACAATATTTTGGCGTATCTTTAAGCTTTTCATGTCCGGTCATGCCTGGATAGTGCTAGACTTGCCATTGCTCTTTGAGACGGGCATTCTTATGGATTTTATACACAAAATTGTAACCGTGTCCTGGTGAGTGTCGCCATGATTAGTAGAATATATATAGCTGTATAATTTATCAAATTATTAGTGACTCGGATAAGCAGTTCCAACGATTGTTAGCTCGAAATGAGCTGTCCGAAACGGAGGCGCGTAATCGCATTGATTCGCAAATGCCGCTAGAGAAAAAGTGCGAGAAATCGCATTTTGTTGTTAACAACAATGGCGACGTGGACGAGACTGAAGCCGCTGCCATGCGCATTTATACCATGATGCAGGAGAGCAAACAGCATTGGTACAATCGTTTCTCACTTCTTGGCGTCATTTTGATTGTATGCGTCACAATCGTTTTCCTAAGCACAACATTCGATGTGTGGCCCAAATCCTGGCGCCTTTAAGTGTTCCTTGTGTACGTTTGTGTGTTCGTTATTTATTTTCCTCTATATGTTTATGTATGTTCACACACTCACAATGCCAGGCACAATAAATAAAGACGCCTTCGCTGGATGCTATTACGACAAATATCATTTAATAATTTTCAGGATTCGATTTACGAGTTTAAAACAACTTTTATCTATGATCTTTGTATATAAAACTAGTTCAACTTAAGATAGGAAGTTACTGGTGGTGAAGAGTTTCAAATAATATTCATTCCACTGAACGCGCGTCCTTTATTTTCAAGTAGTTTAATTTAATTTGCCATGCGCTAATTCGGCGAAGGCGTGGCAAGCAGCGCCGCTGTTTGTGCACAGAAATCAACAAATGTTTTTAATGCATATTTTGTTACCGCCTTTGTCACGTTATGGTTCAGCTGTATGGGATCTTGAACGACCATAGGCTTCTGAATCTGCAGCTCTGACTCTGGATTGTTATAAGCGTATTTCGTATACCTAAAGACAAGCATCAATTTAAGCAACCATTACATTCATGATTCTATCTTCAATTTACCTTTTTGGCATCTCTTTGAGAATTTTTGAAATAGCTACATGTTTTCTTCCAAAATAGGGACAAACCATGTACCGCTCATAGTTAAACGTTGCATAGAACTCAAACAGTTCTTTCACTTTCTCCTTAATCAGCGGCACGCTAACCTCAATCTGCTGCACTCCCATATCGCTGAGTGACTTTTGTGCGAAATTCGCAATCCAAGCTGCAAGCGATACAAATATATTTAGGGGAAGCACATTAAATGGTTGTAGTTATCAGCAGCACTTACGTCCCACCAGCTGCTTGGCTGGCAATGATTCCTCGTGTTGCATAAGTTCAATCGATGGAAGCAGTTGTTGGAGCTGCAAAAAGTAGATGACCATCAGAGCCATGCTGTATGTGGATATTTGTTCCGTTAGTTTGCAACGCTCTAGCCAGGTTTTCAAATAGATGCACATGTATTGGGCTGCAAAAGGTGGCGAAGATACAAGATATTTATTGCATGTATATAAATAAAGGCCTATGAGTAACTCACCTAGAGGCTGCGTTTCGAATATATATTTAAGCAAGTTTGTGTTACAAAATCCTAAGCTATTTAGGCATATATCACACTCGATGCCAGAGGCCAGATGACATGTCTTTATTATAGGCACCCTCGCCTGTTCAATGACCTATTAAATAAGGGGAAGAACAAGTTATTAATCTTAAAGCAATAGAAAAGCAAAAAGTCCCTACATTGATAATACGCCATTCATTGCTTGCGCAGAACAATCCCCGCAATATCCGAAGCCTGAAAAGAGTATTCTTGGAAGCGCGATGCTCGAATGTGTGAAAGCTATTGCCTGCATGTAAAGTGTTTAGAAACAAACAATATGCAATATGCAAGTGGTTGTGTTACATCTAGTACATACCAATATCTACAAATACATCCAAGTCAGATGAGCACGTGCCAATGCCCGTTATCCGCGATCCGAATTTATATATGCGAACAGATTCATTAGAAAAAGTCGATGTGAGTAGCTTGCATAGATCCTTTTCAATATCATCATACTCCGGCATTACTTTAAGCTTATCCGCAACCTGATATTTATCTTTGAACATATGTGTTATATCGCCTGTTGCCAGAGCTTTAACTTCTGCAAGGAAGGAAAATCGTTAACACTGAAGGTCTCTTCTGCTTGTTGCTTACTTTTTGGCAGCTGTATGGTCATTTTTGAGCGTGCTTCCACCTCAACACGCTTTCTTTCCTGCTTCGTCGGCATTGGTCGCTGTCCATTGACGGTGCCATTTGGATTGGGATTAGGATGTTGTTCGGCCAAGTGTCCCACCGCCTTGGCAATTGTTGTGCCCACAATGCGATGCGTGCAAGCAGTACAGTTGAATGTTCGCTTGATTTTCTGCAACTCACTGGGCGGCACAAAGGTAAGTCCCCCAGCTCCTGTTACAGTCGGCTGGCTATTGGGAACCGGTTGCACAGCCTTAGGTATTATGTAGGTTGGCTTCTTGTCCAGATACTTTTCAATACCGACAACAATGCGCTCCAACAAGTTCGTCAAATATGGATCCAATTGTAGATTATTTTTGCGGTTAACTTCTTCAAGGGTTTCCAAGAAATAGCTTGCCTCCAAAGTCAGTGGGTTTAGCTGTTGGTATAATAGAATTTTTTTTTTTTGCTCGCATTCGTCCAATTTACAGGAAACTCACGTATAATAAATTTATATGTTGCTGTTGATTTTCCGCCATGGCCTTTCGATTTTTAGTCTTTTTTGTGGTTGTGACAGCGACGGTGTGGACGGCTTTCTGTTCAATTTACACAATTAAAAATAATAAATAAAAAAAAAAAAAAATCGTATAAATTTCCGTACTGTGTGTAAAAAAAAGTTTAAACAAATGGGGGACGCTTTGTGAGAAGCAGCTGATTTGTACAGGGTAGCCACCTAAAGGAAAGTTTGCCGGTTCGTGCTGCCAGATCAACTTGCTGTGTTCTAGTGTGCACATGAACATAAATACATATATATTTACATGTATATATATGTATATGCCTACACATTAAATGCACACTTAATAATTCGCACAATTCAGCTGAAAGCCTTAGTGGCCTTTGAAGAACTCCTGCGTTGTCGACCAAGCGCTGCTCACAATCTTGAACGCAGGTTTTGTTTTTTTAAATCAACTCACACTAGGTTCTGGTTTTCTTTTGTCAATTCCCTCATAGAACAGTTGCTCGGCATTGCTGTACGCCACTTTATCATGCCAAAATGAATCTGGGTCTTCGACTCTCATTTTAAGTTAATTATAATTAATCCAAGTTGCAAGGCAAAACAAACGCGAGACCAGTACGTTTTAAAACGCGCATGAATGGTATCAGAAAAATATACACACACATACAAGCAATCACATATACATGTACCATAAGCATGTATTCCCAGCAGGGTTGTCACACACAGATTATAAATTCATTAGATGTGTATGAAATATTTAATGTTTGATCCAAAGTTAAGCCACGAGACGGGTTATAAATAATTTTAAACATTTTCCGTCATAGTCGAAGCTTCGTTTTTGTGTTTATTTTTTAGTGTTTTTTTTTTTTGCTGTTGCCTGAATCATTTGAATCTGACGTATAACTCGCAGAACCTGGTCAAATAGGCGATCGTGCTTTTTGGTGCCATCCAAATACAAGATATATCTTTTTGTTTAAACTTGCTTGGGACAAGATTATGTATATTCAAAATCGAAAATGCAGTTCTTACCTTCTAGGGCTTTCATTACTAAGAAAAAAATACATCTGCAGTGTAACCGATCGATTATATAGGAAGATTTTTGTGTACATATTTGCCAAAATAAACTACCGACGCTTTTTGAAGCAGATACAACATGTAATGCCTACGAAAAGAAAAAAATCAGAGTTATAAATATTCTACAAGGTAATTTAAAGGCGAACTTGATTTGAGCAATCTGATATTAAAGAATGATACGGTCGGCAATATTGTAGAATTTCTGTGGTAGGAGATATCTCTCTTAGTTCTTTATGCAATTCTTAAAAATTAGAATTCGCATAAGGCTATTTAATGTTGGATATTAACCTAGCTTTTAATAGTAAAAATGCTTCAAAATAAAATATACATTTAAATAAGGCGCGTTGAAAATTTCGCTCAACAATAAATATGTGTGGCAACGCCAAGCCAGCTAGTGTTGTCTTTAATAAATATCGATACATCGGCTGATGAGCCGACTCGATATCAACAATCAGTTTTATTTGTACTCACTAACACATGGAAAAACTTTCGTTTCCGAGAGTATAAATAGCAGTCGCTGAGAAAAATTTCATTATACGTTTGTGAAGCCTCATAGCCGGTAATTCGAACGTAGATTCTCTCCGAGATAGACCTGAAGCAGTTGCTCTACAGATTTCTGTGAATTTTCATTGTCGTGTGTGAAAAAAAACATAAAAACTCAATATGGTAAGTTATATATTATATTTATATATGTAGTATTTTTTCTTTTTTACAATTTTCATTTATTGTGAATGAAATTTTTCATTGGCGACTCACCGAGTACAGCCATGTTTCAAGATGGCGTTCTCGCAAATGTGATGACGTCATGAAGAAATGTAGTTGGGGGAAAAAAAGTTTGTGTAGCGAAATTAACATAAACCCAAAATTTGTTGCCTTAGGTGGGTTTTAGTTGGTAAATCTGTGAATTGTAATTTCCACGTTGATGAACGTTTTCTCTACATAAATTGCCATCTCGCTCTCATAGATACACACACGAGTTTGGCAACGCGAATGGGTGCGGCTTTTGTCATTATCGATTTTTTTTTTCGCACAACTCTGGCCTGCATTTAAACTTTCGCCATTTTCTGCTCTTTCCGTTTACAGCGTGAATGTATCTCTATCCACGTTGGACAGGCTGGTGTCCAGATCGGCAACGCCTGCTGGGAGTTGTACTGCCTGGAGCACGGTATCCAGCCCGATGGACAGATGCCGTCCGATAAGACCGTCGGTGGTGGCGATGATTCGTTCAACACCTTCTTCAGCGAGACCGGCGCTGGCAAGCATGTGCCCCGTGCTGTGTTTGTCGATCTGGAGCCGACAGTGGTTGATGAGGTGCGCACCGGCACATACCGTCAGCTGTTCCATCCCGAGCAGTTGATCACTGGAAAGGAAGATGCCGCCAACAACTACGCTCGTGGTCATTACACCATTGGCAAGGAGATTGTCGATCTGGTGCTGGATCGCATCCGCAAGTTGGCTGATCAGTGCACTGGTCTGCAGGGCTTCCTGATCTTCCACTCTTTCGGTGGCGGCACTGGCTCTGGCTTCACCTCGCTGCTGATGGAGCGTCTGTCGGTGGACTATGGCAAGAAGTCCAAGCTGGAATTCGCCATCTACCCAGCACCTCAGGTGTCCACTGCTGTCGTCGAGCCCTACAACTCGATTCTGACCACGCATACGACTCTGGAGCACTCCGACTGCGCCTTCATGGTCGACAATGAGGCCATCTACGATATCTGCCGTCGTAACCTGGACATCGAGCGTCCCACATACACCAATCTGAATCGTCTGATTGGTCAGATTGTGTCTTCGATCACAGCCTCGCTGCGTTTCGATGGTGCCCTGAATGTCGATCTGACTGAATTCCAGACCAACTTGGTGCCCTACCCACGTATCCACTTCCCACTGGTCACCTACGCCCCGGTCATATCCGCGGAGAAGGCCTACCACGAGCAGCTGTCGGTGGCTGAAATCACCAACGCCTGCTTCGAGCCAGCCAACCAGATGGTCAAGTGCGATCCCCGTCACGGCAAGTACATGGCCTGCTGCATGTTGTATCGCGGCGATGTTGTGCCCAAGGATGTCAACGCCGCTATTGCAACCATCAAGACCAAGCGTACCATTCAGTTTGTCGACTGGTGTCCAACTGGCTTCAAGGTAGGCATCAACTACCAGCCACCCACTGTTGTGCCCGGTGGCGATTTGGCCAAGGTGCAGCGTGCCGTTTGCATGTTGTCTAACACCACGGCCATTGCCGAGGCCTGGGCCCGTCTGGATCACAAGTTTGACTTGATGTACGCCAAGCGTGCCTTCGTCCACTGGTACGTCGGTGAGGGTATGGAGGAAGGCGAGTTCTCAGAGGCCCGTGAGGATTTGGCTGCCCTGGAGAAGGATTACGAGGAGGTCGGCATGGACTCTGGCGATGGTGAGGGCGAGGGTGCCGAGGAGTACTAAACACGCTCCACACTTCCAGCCCGCACAGAGCAAGCGTCATTGGTGGGCGTTGAGCACGTCGAAACCAATGCCCACGCATTGCCTTCGTTAACAAGAAAAAATTCATAAAAAAAAACACACTGGAGTAAACGATGGGGAAACCTATAAAGTATTTTATTGACAGAAAGACAAAAAAAAATATATACACAGCAGATAAAAAAAAAGAATATCAAAAAATCAGCTCTAAAATTGTGTACGAAATAAAAGTCAGCGAATAGTCAGTGTTGCCAGCAGAAAAAAAAGTCGAGCGCATTTTCTTTCCATCTTTCTTCTTTTCCCAGTATTCCATTTGAGTTCACTGAACGGGCCTCTTGTAATTGAAGATAATCGTCGACGTGGCTGGGGAAAGTGGATCGACCGCCTGACGCTCTATTAATAGTGGAAAATGGCTTTCTACACGACTGCGTTTTCCGCTGCCAGACTGTACCTGGGCGTGGCATGCACCCAAATTTAGCGCAGCCCCTCCCCTTAAGTTCCCGCACTATTAAAGTGCATAAGTACTCGGCCAAGCCTTGTATCGATTTAGTGATGAGTCATGCTGCAGCATAGCTACTTCGGAATGGGGGGGGAGCGGAGGGCACTCATCGCTAACAGTCAGACGATGACTTCATTTCTGTGCGGCAATTGTCGCCGGCCTGTACCTCTCCTTTTATGTATGATTGTGCGCATGTACATACACAGACACACACACACACACACATATATATAAGTACTTATATATGTAAATCATTTAAGGGGTTGTTTTTGCCAATATAAAATTGAAACCTAGGTGAACCGGCTTGTTATTGCCTCACGCGATGGCAAAAGTTAGCTTCTCCCTCCCTCTGCAAGCAAATGCCGAATTTTCGAGAAGCAGGCCAACAGCTGCAGCTATCGATTTTTCAGAAAATGAGAAGAACAACAGGAAATGCACAAAAAGCCGCACAGATGGCCGTTAGGTACATGCATACACACAAACATGAAGTACCCACATACATATATGTAGTAGCAGACGCCGTATTTGTTTTGAGGTTATAGACGCATACACTCATGCAAGAGTGTATGTATGTATGTACTTCATTATAAGCCGCAATATACTCTTCAAATTATATGAATGTAGATGCATCCATCATGGAATTTATCAATTATCTTACATTTCTGTAGAATATGCATAACGTATGCTAACAAATGCGAATTGTTTTATATACACTTTATAACAGCTGCCATGATTACATATTATTTGCCTAAAAAGAAACCCAATAGAGCGAAACAAAACCCACATACACATGCATATTACATACATACTCCCGTCTGACCATATCTTATAAATACATACACACATACATATGTATGTATGTAAACGTATGCATACTTGTATGTGCGACAAATTTATATTTGTGTGATTCAAGTTCACCTCAAGCGGTGATGACGACAGCTTCAACCCGCAGAGCCGGCTCTATCGTATATCTGTGGGCGGGTGAGTGGGCAACATATTTAGATTGATTTCGAGCACCACAAATCGGAACAATCCAAATGTACTTATATATACATACATATGTACATACATAACCAAGTCTGGTTTTGACATAGTGATTGAATGTTTATATTTGTGTTTGATCAATAAAGCATACTAGATATGAACATAAAAGTGAAAGATTTCAGTATATGTAGATATGATTTGTACATAAGATATGTATGTGTAGTGCAATTAGGTACATCGTTACGATATACATACATGCACATGTACTTACAAACACATGCAGACAATTTACTGAGTACATTTATACGCCTGATATTTTGAAGAGAATACCGATAGTATCGATAAGAATTAAACATTGAAGCAAAGTACCCATCTGGCCACTTTTTCTATAAGGTGGCAGCACCATTAAATTGCCGGGCCTCACATTTAATTCAAAAACTATTTAAACACTTAGTTAAGTTATATCACTCAGAAACTTTAATATTGTGTGAAGCAGTTGTGAAATTTAATAAAATAAACCTATATACAATCGTTTTCTGCCAATTTTTAAAATACAACCATTGACCTTATTTCTTCACTCAACAACACTCTCAAATAAATTTCATAAAGATCTTTGAAGAGCTTTCTGATCCAAAATCGACTGGGCTGTTAATACTTATAATAAAATATATGCACTCTATTGTGACGGAAATGTCATAGAACTATAATGGCCTCTGCAAACAAAGAGTAGGCACAACCATTTGATTTTACTTTAAAAATTTGAAATTGCTATAGTTCATTATAGGAACTATGAAATGTGTTAATGCTAAGGAAATCACAATATCTGAATTTAACAATCATACTTAAAATTATTGCCTAAAAATACTATTTCGTTTATCATGTCTTCGGCACATTGCATTCCATTCGGCTGCTCGCTGAGCAGAGTTCGAGCTTGCAGAAGAGCCCGCTGGGAAGGGGCAATGCTGGCAGGTGTACCCAGTATTTTGCAGCTGACTTTGTAGAGCAGGGGAAACAGAACTCTATTTGCATTCCACCAATCCAAGACATTCGACATTTCGTGGAGCGACATCTTTCTGCTCAGATACTCGTTTATTTCATTATTTATAATATCAAGCTTCGTATCAGTGGACATGGGCTCCAGAAAGTCCGTAAAAAGGCCATCTCCACAGTATTCCATATCTAATTTGATTCTTTTTCGCGTATTATCGGTTTCAACATAAAACTGCTGCATCATGCGCTTGCATTCTTCAATTGTGGCCCTTTTATCGGATTCCTCAAATAGAAGCAGTTTATTTGTGGGCGGAAAAAGAAAGAGGGCTATTTTATGATATTTCGTTATGTGAACTGTTTCAATTGAATCCAAGTGGCTCCTCAATGCACTCTTCAAAATCGTGGCTATGGCAATGTCTTCGGGCTTATTGGAACAGAGCTTTTTCAGCTTATGCAGATGGGGGATTATGATGTGCAGCGTGGGCATGGTCTCTTCTGCCATGGCCTGAACAGATTGTTCAAAGCTGAGTAAAATATGGACAACAGCTTTAATATCAGCGATGAGGATCGGCGTTTCTGACTTATCAACCAAAATTTCGGACACCAAATGCCAGTTGTCCTCCACAGACTTGATGCAGCACAAAATTGTATTACTTTGTGTAGAACTGGGCAATGATTTCGTATTAGTTAATTTGCCGGACATTTCGCAGTGCTTCAACAAGCTAATGCATGTTTGTAGCATTTGCTTCAACTCGTTAACCTCCTTGAAAACCTCCTCCATGACATTGTTTAACAAACTGCGGATGCAGTGCACATGATGCTGACAATCCGAGGCAGGCGTAGCGGCTTCTTCGCAGTCCGTAACAATTATTGGATCCTCCACGTCCAAGTCGCTTTCAAATGCACGCAGGCAGTTTTTAATGTGTTCTCTGATCTGGTTACCTGCAAAGGCAGAGAAATATTAAAACGTATTCAGATAAAAGGATTCTCCTTAAAGGATTTTAGATAGTTTAGTCTTGCGGAAACTGGTTTGGGTAACTTTTCTGGGTAGATTATTTAAGGAGTTTCTGGCATTACTTGTCCTTGAATCCCTGTTCAATGGGGACACGGCGAGCAAGCGACTGATCATAGCAGATTTCTGGATATAGTGCACGGTTACGGCTGCATAAGGTTTTTTGAGGTAGCTGTCCTTCCAGATAGTCACTGTTATGCTGTATCCGCTGCCTTTAGCCTTGTGCAGCTCCGCAGCAATAGTTTGGCGCTGGGATTCGTACAGGTCGGATATATTGCATGCTATGGTTGTTGGGCTTGGCATTAGAGCGTCTAGGTTGACATTTTCACCGAAATTGGCACCGATTGCCACAAAGATGCGTGCAATATTCTTCAGGCCCGAGTCCTCGAGTATGGTCCAGGAGCGACAATTTGTCACCAGCCACTGGGCGGCCGCATCGTTTAGTCTGCCTAGGGTTTCACTGTCTACTTCCACATCTTGGTAGCTGCGGACACCATTCTCTTTTGGCTCGGAGTTGATGTAGCATTTGTGCTTGACCAGATTCGAGGTACAGCCCGAGTATTTGTATACGTTGAAACAGTTTCGGCAGGCCACAACATTTTCAATTTTGTCGCCATTTTCATCAATCATTAGGGCAAAAATATTCCAAACCTTACTTCGACCGCGTTTTTCCCTAAGTTTAATTTGGCCGTTTACTATTTTCCTCCTGAAATTTGAAATATGGCCATAATTATTGGAACTTGTAGTTCCGTCCAGAGGGGAAGTGCATTCATATTCCGAATTCTGTAAATCAAATAAATAATCAATTGAATGTGTGTTGATAAAATAAATAAATATATACCTGCTCTTGATAGCTCATTTCGCTTTTAATCTCTAGCAGATCCATTTCACTTGCATTCGTTCAAAATGTTTGGCCTCTTTTATAGAATAGTACGAATGCTGGCGACGAGTGGGCCGAGAGTTTTCCACCACCAAATGAGACATTCGAATACTCACAAAATTCAATGCAAATGGTTTGGTGCTTTGAAATACTCGGTATGCGTTTCTGTTGTGCTTGTTGCTCGATGAAAATGGGGTAACTGCATTTATGCAAAGCGCAAATGTATTTAACTCGAAGTAATAATAAATCACAACATAAGTGTCTTTTATTTAGACACAAACTGTAAATACCTGTAAATGCTTGGTATGTTTCGCGGTTGTGGTGGTCGGTCGATAGCCGATTAATGCGATACGAGTACTTAAATCTGAGTAATGTATCGATTCCTATAAGTAGGCTTTGAACAAGCCGATTTAATACAAACACTTCTTATTATTTGATAGACAACAAATATAACGAGCCAAGTTCATAAAATTGTATAATGGAAAACAGCAAGGAGACGGGCATCGGCACCGATTCTGCGGCTTTAGACAAAGCCACGCTAAACACTGGAGACACCATGGCACTCAAGGATTTGCTGGAGAAGCGCCTAATTGACTGTGGCTGGCGCAAGGAAATTGAGCAGCTGATACGCAACACCTTGGAGGAACGTGGAGTGGCCAATCTTACGCATGACCAGCTCGCCGCAATGATAATTCCAAATGTGAGTTAATATCCATTTCCGTGGTGCAACTGTAACAATTCATATGTACATTCCTTCAAGCCAGGCTCGCGCTCTGGTGCCCGATGTCGTACGCAAGGAAATGCTGCTGCGTGTGCGCGAAGCTCTGCAGTCTCCGTTGCCTCCTTCTGGCAAGAAATGATCGACTCCTGATTGGGGATCACTCAAATTGTTCTCTATAGTAGTCATAGCTTAAATTCTATCATTGTTATGGTTTATTAACTTGTAATTAAGTAATCGTATATGTACATATGTATGCTTACGCCTGCTAATGCTACTTATGAGTTGCGCCATTAGTTGTACAAATATATGTAATAAATAAACAACTTAATAATACATTTATATATATATATATATATGTATATTCTATTTGTATGTTAATGTGTCACATCCTGTACGATTGGCTAAACAAATTAAAATATACATAATAGTTTGGGGGGTTTTGTAGGAACGCGGTTTGCGGGTGGCTGTGTGAAGAATTAGGCTATAAATAATAGGGCTAATTGTTAATTGTGTTACGTTTTACTTATTCAAAAGCGAGTCAATTGAAAAGTCTTTGAATTTGGCGTTGGAATCATCAATAAATAGCTGCGTTTGCTCTTGTTCTACTTGTTGCTGCTGTGTCGTTGTTGTTGTTGCTGTTGTTGTTGTTGCTGTTGTTGTCGGCAACATTTTCATCAATTTGTTACGCGGCTTGCGTAAAAATTTTGTATTTATTTGAAATTTTTGCGGCTTGCAGTTGGTGAACTGAGTTTGTGCTGTTGCTGTTGCTGCTGTTGCTTGTTGCAAGGAGGATATTGTTGCTGTTGTGTTAGCTGCAGCTGTTGTTGTTGTTGTTGTTGTTGTGCGATACGTGCGACGCCAATTGCGCAGCTCTGTATTTGAGGTTGTGGCCGCCTTTGGCGTGTTCACAGTGTTCATTGACGCTGTTGAGGCTGTGCCTCGCACTGTGGCACCTGCATAGGCATTGGCACCAAAGCATTTTAGAAAGTTCTGCACATGTATGAGGCTGTCGTTCTCATCTTTGTGACGCCTCTGGCGCTGCCTATCCTCGTTCTCGTCCTCCGCCTCGTAGTCGACCGACGACTGCTGCTGCGAGGACGACGAAAAGGTAGAGGAGCTGCTGGTGCTGCTGCTGAGCTAAAAATATAGAATGCAAAGTTATTGAATAGCTTTAATACAATTGCAAAATATAATTGCTTACATCGTCTTCTTGGTTGTCGCGCAGCTGCTGAAAGTTAACAGCCGTTTGTTTTAGCTTCTTGTATGTGTGGGACTGGGGCTTGTTGGTGCTGGATGGCATTTTGGTGTGGCTGGTATTGCCGGGCTGGCGGGTACGTCTGGCCGGGATTGGCTTCTTCTTCATGGTTTGCTGGGCCTGCTGCTCCCGACATGACTTTCAGCTAGATTTGGCGAGGTTATCGTCGCGCCTTAGTTGGGGCTGTAACAGAACAACACATGTTGATTAACATCAGGCTGCAGCTGTTAACTAAACGGGTAGCATTAACAGTAACAGTTTTTTTTTTTGGTTTTTGTTTTTTTTTTTTCAGCGCTGGCACACAAAAACAACAAACAATTTTCCATATACGATTATAATACCGATTATTATATTGCGTTTATCTGTGGCAGTAAATAATTGGAATGAGAAAGGCGGTTGCAGTTTGGAGCAAAAGAAAGCACATGATTTGGAATTGATAGAAATGTTGTTGAATGTCGATGGTGAGTTATGTACATACAATGTTGAATATGAATGTGGGGCGGCATAAAAATAAAAGTGACGAATATGAAACAACAGTCATTGAATGAATATATTGTATGTGTGTGTATCGATATAACGAATATTTGCTGATGCTCAAACTTGCACACACACACACATACACATACACATGCACCCACACGCACACGCACACACTACCTGGTGATGCGTGCTGTAGAGCGCATGTTGCGCTGCGTAGGAGTTGGTGGAGGAGCTACTCAAATCATCAACGTGAACGCCGCCGGCACCCAACTGAACGTGAATGCTAGGATAGTGGTGTGGGTGGTGCGTATGCGAATGCGGAAGCGCGTTGTGTGCCCCACCATGTTGCAAACTGCCTGAGGAGGTTGTTGTCAATGTAGCTGTTGCTGATGTTGCTGCTGTTGTTGTTGTTGTTGTTGTTATTGTTGTTATTGTTGTTGCAGCAACCGCTGTAGCTGACCCACCTCGTCCAATTGCCGCAGCGGCAGCACTGCTGGTGCCCAGGCTCATGCCCACGCCCAACATGTGCGCAGCAACTGCGGCACTGGCATGATGCGTTTGATGCAAATGTTGTGGCTGTTGTTGCTGCTGTTGTTGCTGCTGCTGCTGTGTTTGTAAATACGTTGCGTGTTGCTGCTGCTGTTGATGCGTGTGCATGTTGTTGCTGGCGCTGTTAGCGTTAACATTACCGCTGCTGCTGTTACTGCTGCCGGCGCTGTTATACGCATGAGACGTCGCAACGTGTCTGATGGAGAGGTTCAACAATGATTTTGCGATATGTTTCGGCAGTCAGGGACTCACCTTAGACCCAAACTAGTTGAATTGCCCATTGGCAGGCTGCTAACCGAGGACATTGGTGTCGCTGTTGTTGTGCTTGCATTGGAATTGGATGATGCGGGATTGCTGTTTATGTTATTGCTGCTGCTGTTGTTGTTGCTGTTACTGTTGTTGCTGCTGCTGTTGTTGTTGCTGCTGCTGCTGCCACGATAATCCAGGACACTGCTGGCGCTGCTGGCCCGACTGTTAGCCATTGTCGGTATGGTTGTGTTTATTGCGGTCGTGGCCAGCGAAACGGCTGCAGCAATTGTTGTAGCAGCATTGCTGTTGTTGCTGTTGCTGCTGTTGCTAGAGGCTAGCGTGGAAATGACAAAAGTTGTTCGATTTGTTATATTTATGCCATTGCATGTTGTTAGTTTGTCGTGTGTGCGTGTTTGTGTTTAGCGCAGTTGCATGCAACAAAATACGCGTCTGTAGAAAATGCACAACAAGCTTCACCATTTAGCAGTAGCGATCACAGCAACCGTTTCTGTTAGCAGAGATGTTAAATTCATGTGTAAATGTTAAGCTCAGGGCTTTAACGTAACAGTAGACGCCCCTGTTAGTACATGCCATGCCCCAACTCGGCTTACAGTGAGACAAAATATTAAAAAAAACGAAGATTTCGAACATTTGAACAAAGAAAAAACACAAATTAAATTAATTTAGAATTTGCTTGTTTTTGTTTTGGTTTACAATACACATTTTATTTATTTTGAAAACAAATAAAATAAGGTAAGAATTCGGGTTTGTTGGTGCATTAAAAGATAACTTAATTTTAATCATAGGTTGAGTAAAGAAAAAAGTAAGTACTTGTTTCTGTTTGTTATATTAATCAAAAAATTAATCTTAAATGTTGTATTTACCTAATTGAAGCTTAAAGCTTTGGCTTTAAGTACGTATGTGATTGATATTAAACTGATTGAAAGTGTAAATATGTTTTGTACAATTTAACAATTATGCCATTTGTTTTGTACCATCCAATATTATTATTGTTAATGATGTGCTTTGTTATGTGTGTGTGTGTGTATGTACATGAATCACTTGTACCCACTTAAATTTAAATTAACATTAATAATGCGATATTATACGAGAATGCCAGCCATAGCATTAATGCGTAGTCTGGCAACGTCAAGCTGCTCGTTACAAGCATAACATCGACTGTTAATGTTGTATTACATATCTGTACATTTACATAAATTCAGTTTGTAGCTGAGTGAATGGCGCCTCCATCTATTTGTGTTTGTGTGAGTGTATGGGTGTGGGATTTGTGGACAGCAAATGCATGTGCCGACACCAAGAACTGACTGAGAGTGGATGCAGTGGCATCTACTTACCATGCGCCTCGGCTTTGGCATTGTTGATCGCATTGTTGAGCGGAATCTGTAGGCGGGCATTCACGGCCAGCAAATGATCGCGACGCGCTATCAGACTGGTCACATGCTCCTCCAGCCGCAAGTTCTCGCTCTGCAGCTGATGCAGACAGTTAAGCAACGAGGCAACTAAGAATGCAAATGGGTTAGAGCTTTAGTCGAAGCACTGGCCAAATCTTCTGTCTGGTGGATTAGCCATACTCACTGTCGAAATGCTGGGCCTGTTCCATGAGAAACTGTGAGCCCTGCTCCCACTGGCGCTCCAGTAACTGTTCCAGACTCTGCGGTATGGGCATATTGCCATTAATGCCGCCGCCGCCGAACATCGATTGCAGCGGATTTGGCGCTGGCGTTGCACAGCTCGAGGACGTTGCGCTGGCATTGCGCTACATTGCAGGAAATAGAGATTAGTCGGAGGCTTCGAGTGCGGATAACTGAATGTGTTGTTTACCTGCTTGCCAGGAAACGGCACGCCCGAAAACTGTGAGCTCATGGAGTCGGGCGTGTAAATGGCATGATCCTGCACCTCCATGTGCAGCTGCTCCGATAGCTTCTGGGCCACGCTGCTGTTGGGATTCACATGGTTGCCCAGCATATGGGTGGCCGTGTGCGCTATGATCGAGCTGCTGCCCGCGACGCTAGAGACGCCGGCGCTCGTCATGCTCGTGGCGGGCGTGGCTGGCGGCGTGGGCGTATTGACCGGCGCGCTGGCGACGCCAATGCCATTTTGCAGTATGCGCACATCCTTGAGATCCTGTTGAGTGGTAGCCACGGCTGCTGTGGCCGCTGCCGCTGCAGCCGCAACCAATGTGGCATCCTTGGCCTTGCGTCCGCGCTTGCGCACATTGCCGGCAGCAACGGGCGCAGCAGCAGCAGCAGCATTGATTGCCGACGCGACAGCCGTATGCAAAGCGCTGCCAATTTCTGAGCCGGGCGAACTGGGCGGCGAGTCCTTGATGGCGCTCACCGGCAACATGGGCACATCCAGCTGCGTGCTTAACGTTTGCGCCTCGTACGTGAACTTGAGGCCGCCGCTGCTGTTGTTGTTGTTGTTGCTGCTGCTGCCCAGATTTATGCTCAAGAGGCTGCTGGTGGTGGTTGTTGTCGAGGTGCTGCTGCTGCTGCTGCTGGTTGTCGAGGTGCTGCTGCTGGTGCTGGTGCTCGTTGTCGTGTTGAGATCAGGTGTTCTGTTGTTGCATTTCGTTGTTGATTTCGTGTTATTGTTTGTCGTTGTTGTTGTGGTTGTTGTGATTGATGTTGTTGTCATGGAAGAAGCATTTGTATTTATATTAGTAAATTGCAAAATTTCTAAATCTTGATGTTGCTTAAGCTGTTGCTGCTGATGCTGTTGTTGCTGTTGCTGCTGTTGCTGCTGTTGCAAGTGCGCAAATTGACTACTGACTGAGCTAAGGTTTGTGGGTGAGGGGGCGTTAGCGGTTGGTGCATTGCTAAGATTAACATGTTGCTGCTGTTGCTGTTGTTGCTGTTGTTGTTGCTGATACAGCTGCGTTTGCTGTGCGCGCAACATTTTCTTATTCAACGGCTTGGCAGCACTGTTGCTGGCAACATTGTTGCTATTGCCGCTTCTATTGTAACAGGCAACATGTTGCTGCGACTGTGTGGACATGTTGACGGGCGAGTCTAACAGACTGACCACAGCATTGCCACTGGCCGAGGACATGGAGGAAGTGGACGAGCATGAGGAGGATGTTGAGCTGCCGGCATGCTCGGTGGCAGACACATGACTATTGCTGTTGCTATTGTTGTTGTTGCGTGTATTGCGCGTTGTTGCCACAGTCGGCGGCGAGTCAATGGATGAGGAGGATAGGGCCTGCAACATGACTACTGGCGATGCGATCGCTGTCGCTAAAGTTTGCGCGGGGGGCGGCGTGGGCGTGGCACGGCAGTGTGGCGAACTATGGCGACTGCTGCTGCTATTTCGTGCCAGCTTCTCGACTGTTGTTGTTGCAGCTGCAGCTGCAGCTGCAGTTGTTGTAGTTGCCGTTGTTGCTGCTGCTGTTGTTGTTGTGGCTGCAGCTGTCTCGGTCTTGCTTAGCGCAGCAGCGCGCTTCTTGCCCGAACGCGACTGTGACTTGGTGGGCGTGGTCAGTGTTGAGTTGGACGTGGAGGAGGATGCGGTGGAGTGCAGCGATTGCGATTGCTGCTGTGGCAGCTGGTGTTGATGTTGCTGCTGCTGCTGCGACGTTTGCGTTGGCTGTTGCTGCGGTGTTTGGTTGTGACTGTGGTGGGTTTGGTGAGTTTGCTGATTCTGGTGATGGTGGTGATGATGGCTACCACTCTCACCAGACCGCGATCTACGTGTTGTCGTTGTTAGTTTATTTTTTGGGTATTTGGTATTTGTTAATTATTGAAATTGTGTTTGGGTTAATTGCATGGTGAGATGGCAAAAGCAAAACGAGAGAGAAAGAGAAAGAAGAGAGTAACATTTTCTTTAGAGAGCGCATCAAGTGAGTCTGTGTGAGTGTGTGTGTGTGGTGAGTGTGGTGAGTGCAACACTAGTTAATAACACAAGGAAATAATTAGGGAAACACAGCACGCGATTGATTTGCGCGGCGAATAAAATGAAACTGTAAGAAAATCAATCAACGTGGGCAACATAACGCAACAAAACAACAGAACAAAACAGAACCGAAACTAACATTTGCTATATCTATATATATATATTACATAATTATAAACTGTAAGCTGGCAACGCGCTGTTAACCGCAGCATGTTGAATTTAGCGTGTGAGGTGAGATTATTATTTACCTGCTGCGGCGCGCCGGCGATGCTTCCTGCTCCTGCAGCTGCTGCACCCGGGTCGTTTGCTTCTCAAAGCTGATCTTCAAATTGCCGCTCTCCGTTGTCGTGGCCGTCAGGTTGCCCGTTCCGGCGCTGCTGCTCACCAGAGCGCCCAGCGAGGGCGATGACTTGCCGCTCTGGCTTTGTATAACGGAGCCAGAGCCTCCTGAGCCCGCGCTGCTGTTGCCGCTTGCAGCTGCTGTTGCTGTGGCATATGTGCTGAGAGGTGACTGTGCGGCAACTTGTGGCTGATTGTGTTGTGCGGATGTGTGTGTTTCTGTTAAGGATTAACATTTCATTTACAGCCGTTCTACATTCTGCTCGCTATACAAAACTCACCACTGACACTGCTGCTGCTGCTGCTGCTGCTGTTGGGCAAATTGATGCCAGGTACATTTGCCGTGGACAACGGCACCGAAACATACAAGCTGGGTGCACTGCTGGTGGCAGCTGCTCCACTTGAGGCAGCATTGCTGCTGTCCTTGCTGCTGCTGCTGCTGTTGCCATGCTTGCTGCTGCTGCTGCTGCTCGTTTTGCTTGCCTCTATTTTCGCATAGCCCCCAATGCCAGCTGCTCCCGTTAGGCTGCTCGCACTGCTGCTCGAGCTGGTGGCTGCGGCTGCGGCTATCGATGTACTCGATGTGGTTGCTACTATCGTCGTCCCACTGGGCGCTATCGTTGCACTTGTTGCACTCGCTAACGTTGCATTCACCTCAGCTGTGGCGGATGTTTGATGCGTGGGTGGACTCAACTCCGTGCGTTGCTGCAAAGGATTAAAGGATTATATTATAATTATATTATTTAATGTTTAATGAAACTCATAAATTAAATGTTGATTATTTGCGAGGCAACTGTAAAATCGACTTAAATAAACGTGTAAGTCCCCATGTTTATATTTCACCATTAAAAGCGTTGCCATATCGTCACAATTGTAATTAAATCTAGTTTAGCATGAGTTTTTGCAGTTACATTTTCAAAATATATATGTTAAAGACAGCTTATATTCATCTAGTTTATGCCCTAAATCAAGAGGTTTCTAGTTATTTTAAGTGAAATTTAATCTGAATAAATACAATGTAGAATGGAATACTCTAATTGTAGAATTCTCTATAAACATTTTCAATGTTAATAGCTTTGGCATGTGTACAGTATGTTTCCTCAGATGCAATCTTCCATTCGCATATCTTGATAACCTTTGTTGTTGTTGCTCATTTACTGGTGTTTTTTTTTTTTTGTGGTCATTAAGAATCTTCTCGACACTTCCGGCCGCAAATTGCGGCATGTAAACACACATGTTTACAGCCATAAAGCATAACAACAACAAAAACAGCAACAAACAACTGAATCAAAACACAAGATTAACATTAACATTGGACAGTAACAGAGGGCTGTTAACAGACGCCACAATCAAAGCAAAGACCAACCAACCACTTTTCGTGTTGTTGCTTTTTACTGAGAAGGGGGCACGGCGGCGCCGCATGTGTTCCATATAGATTATAAAAGCTGCCAGCAAACGGACATGTGTACAGAATGCAACTCAAAGCTTATCGGCTGCGTTGACGTCGTTGTCAACGGTAAAAGCAGCAGCAGCAGCAGCAGCAGCCGCAGCAGCATGTAATAAAATGAGTCAGAGTCAGAAAAATGCAGCAGCCGCTGTGTCAAAACTCGGCGAGGGCAAGAAGTGCTGCAACAATGGACGAGTTTTTTTTTTTTTTTTTTATTGTGGTTTTCCATATGCTGCCAGATGCAACGATATGTACACACACACACAAGCACATGTGTATGCGTGTGTGCGAGAGTTTTAGATCGAGCAGCGAATGTTGCTTGCAGCTAATGCACAAAACAATAAACAGACGCTGAGAACAGCCGTTCCCATTCTCTCACGGTGTCGCGCTCATTCCCTTTCGAACTGTTCCCTTTGTTTGCGCCCTCTCTCTCTCTCTCTCTCTCTCTCTCTCTCTCTCAATCTCTCCCTCTCTTCTTGAATGCGTGAGCGCACTGTTGTTTATTTGGGTGGTGGGGGTTCGGTAGCAGTCATTATTGCTGCTGTTGTTGTTGTTGTGTTGTAGTCACGTAGACAGAAACTATGCACAGTGTTGCCACCTGGTCACAATGTCACAATTCCAATCAGAATCCACAAATCAGTTAACGCGCTGTCAACTACCTGCCAGGCCAGCCTGTTGCTGCGATAAAAGTGTCGTATTTCCGTTAAACACCTCACACCTCATTAGATTTGGCCAACTGAAAAAGACAAATAACGCTTTTCATGGTCATCTACTACGAACTCCATTGACGCGCAGCTGTTTTCGACCAACCAAAATGGCCGCCATTATTGAAAGTGATTATCCTGTTGCTGTTTGGCACAGCCAATATTGCGTCAACCCCTTTTCGATAGCGTGCTTTGCATTTTGCATAGGTCACACTGTACTTCCGCACATAATTCAATTGTTGGACCTTGTTGCCTACCGCGAATTCAATAAAATGCGACAGCCGGAAACAAAATACCAACTATAAATATTATATTGCCGTTTGTCTGAGCAGCTTTCAAAGGGGGTTCTCTCTCTCTCTCTCTCACACACACACAGACTCGCCCGATCAGGACCCAGGACAAACAATATTGCCAGAAAGGGTTGTCCTCGAGGACAGCAAATTTGTTGAATTACCCAAAATTGAAATAAACGACAACAACTGCTTGGAACAATGCGAGACCCCAGGAACTAAGCCAGGACCTTGTCCTTGCGATTGTCAAGCATTTGAAATGTGAGGGAAATTGATAAAAAAAAAAGGCTAGAATGGAAACTAATTCGTATGAAAATATATATCTGGTATTAGAATGTTCTGGTTAACAATTTATGCCAAGAAGAGAAAGCATGAAAAATTATATAAAGATATGCGAAAAGATTGTCTAAGCTCGTAATGTCCCTTGTCAACTATATGATATAGAGTTCCGATCCGATTTAGCTTTAAAACTGGCAGATGGATGAATCTGTCTCGAATCTAATCGGATCTCCTGTTCCCTTCTTCCTCTAGAAGGATATCTGTATGCATAAATAAACAACGTTTGAGATGAATAGAAAAAATACTCTAGAAAGATCATGTTGCAAGGCATTCGCACGATTCGGAGTAGGGCATAAACGAACAAGCGGCCCGCATACCTGGGCCACAAGTCGAAGAAGAAGCAGAAAATAAAGACGGGACACAAAACTGGCAGCTGTAACAAGATCGAAGGCAGGATCAGGATCAATCAGCTGCCAGGAAGCAACAGCCGCAGCAAAAACACAATAAACTCAGAGGGTAGCTACACACACACACACACACACACACACACGTTCAGTAGACGGGCAGCTGTCGTCAACTAGGCAGAGCCTGCAGGCACAGGATACATCAGGCATTATCCTTGAGCGCGCAAAACTGAACGGGCTAAGGCGAACAGCTGTCTGCCCCGAGAGCTCAGGAACTTGCCCCATGCGCGTCACGTAGGCCTTAAAAAAAGCAGTCGAAGCAGCGAAATAATGCCACATGCCACATGCCGCATGCCGCAGACACCAATCAATATTCGGACTAGATGCAGTTGGCCAAGCCAATTTGGCTACATCGAAGTCAACTGGCGGTTTCCCAGCATTATAATTGCAAGTTAACCCCCGTTCGCCACACTCCCCCGACCATGTGCCGCAGGTGCCGCTGCACTCAGGTGGCAGGTGCACACACACACAAGTGCAGCAATTGCAAGCACACGCAAAAACGCTTGCATGTCTCCGTATTATTGATTAAGTGCTAAAGATGTATTCCAGCCGTGTACCTGGTCGAATCGAACAAGATGTTAAAATGGGCCGCATTTCTTATGCAAATTGAGGACTGCATCGAAGGACTTTTGCTTAAAGGGTATTCGCTTTCGGTGTGCTCTAAAAAAGACGCTCCTTTTAATAACATATCGATTCGAATTTGAGTCTATTGTGAGTTCTTAGCCAGTTCCAGTTTATAAGTTAGATTAATAGTTTATAAAAATACTCCTCAAGAACACCTTCAGGATTCCAATCCTCACGTCAAAGTAGTTTGTTTCCTGAAATAAGTTTCCTGTTCCCCTATTACCAAAATTGTAGCCCCATTTTAAATTCCACTTTTTAACATCGCGTCTTTAGCTTCTGTTCTTTATAAATTTATATATTCTAACTATATATCATATTTCAATTTTATATCAATCATTGACTAAAGTTCTTAAATAAAGATCTTGAATAATAGAACCCAAGAAATGCTTACATATGATATAATTCCCTCCTATTTCAATAACTTTCTATGGTTTTGAGCTTTGGAGTGCGATTTATCGATAGACAATTAGAGGCTGACAAAAGTGCAATCGATTAAACCTATCGATAGGCAATTCGAGGCTGACAAAAGTGCTATCGATAGGCAATTAGAGGCTGAAGCTGACAACAAAAAATCGATTAAAATTCGTATTTGAAATAAGAAATTTCTAAGTTCAAGGATATTCAAAACTGTGATCGGATTTTGAAATCGATTTTGATTTGATGTTAGTGTAATTTATTCCTTTATCTATCGTGATATATCTGTTGTTATTCCTGATAAAAGTGGATAATAATTAACTGTAATTCTAACGCCTGTTCACAATAATTTAACTTTCATTTTGAATAGAATTCTGTTGTTATTTCTTGTTTATGAATCTGAATATACTTATGACTGCATTCCCTATCGAAATTTCAGTCAATCTTGTTGATTTGAAACAGTTCAGGATATGCTCGAAAGGGACGTAAATGGGATTTATGGAGTTTTTCCCAAGAAACTAAGAATGGCAATTTGTGGAAGATTTTCATCAGCTGCCAGAAAAAACACTCAAAATAGAACGTGGACTGTGTTAAAGGTGTCTTCGAATTCGGTTGCAGTTGCTGTGGCAGATGCCACGTCTTGGGGGCGACAAGGGCGCCAATCGGTGGCATCAACTAGACATAGAGAGTGCATCTTGGCTGGCTGCTTACCCCGGAGAGCAGGAAACGTATTTTTAAATTGTGCGGGTATGTGGTAGCTGCGGGACCTCCTCCACCGACCGCAGTGACAGCTGCAGCAGTGCCGCCGCCGACGCCCAAATAGGAGGGCGAGGCCGAGGCGGAGCCGCCAACGTACTCGATGGTGGCCGACGGCGTTGTCGAGGCGGACGAGGGCGATGACGAGGCGGATGTCGAGTGCTGGCTATTGTTGTGATGTGGATGCGGCGGCTGTTGCTGCTGCAGATGGGCTGAGTCTCGATCTCGGTCGCGTTCCCGATGGCGGCGATGCTCGCGATGTTCGCGATGCTTGTGCCGATGCTCCTTGTCCTTTTCGCGTTTCTCGCGCTTCTTCTTCTTGTTCTTGCGATGCTCCTTGTACTCGGCCATTTCCATGTGATTGTGATTGTGATTGTTGTTGCTGTTGTTGTTGTTGTTGTTGTTGCTCTCCGCCGTAGCGGCCATGCTCACCATGGTGGCCGTAAAGTCCAGCGTGCTGCTAACTGTGGTCGCCGCAACGGCCACAGCGGGCGCCACGTCCATCGGCTGGGCGTCCAGTGTGTCCATCATCATCATTTTGTATGCCGTGTGTGCGTGCGTGTGTGTTGTCCCTTTGGAGATCACAGTTTGGGCTTCTTCCTCTTCTTCTACGTTTTTTTTATTGTTTGCCTTTGATTTTGTTGTTTCTGTTGTTTGGCTGCAAGCCAAGTTTACGTTCTCTGTGCTTTGACTGTTCTTTTAGCGTCAATTTTGTTTTGTGCCCACTGTGATTAGCCGGATGGGAGCATAGTCTTGGTGTCAATCTCAGTTTCACTCTCTCTCTCTCGCGCTCTCTCTCTCTCTCTCTCTCTCTCTTTTTCTTGTTGTTTCAATAGTTGTTGATTCGTTTTCAATATTATTATTTTGTATGCTCTTTAGGCTGTTATTTTTTGTGTTTCAAACCACGCACACACACACACACACACATACACACACATACACACACACGTAAATCACAGTGCACATAAGTGAGAACCAACTGTCAAAGTGTGCGTTTCTGTTATTGTTGTTGCTGTTGTTGTTGTTGTTGGGGTGAATAACTTGCGTGGCGGCGACTGGGCTGGCTGGCTCTCCCTCTTTCCTTCTCTCTGTTAGCGCAAAATACACGCGCTCTCTCTCTATCTCGCTCTCTCGCTCTGGCACATACATAAACACGACTCGTTGAATCGTTTTATTTTCTTCTTTTTAGCTTCACACAAAACACACAAATTGAATTTCTTTTAGTTGGAAATTAGCTTTTTTTCTGGCAGCATTTAAAACATGTGCTTCGCTGGCCACGTGAACGGCTAATATTTGAGCAGTTTTCATACAAGAAAAACAACTTTTTGTTGTTAACACTGATGGCCAGAAAATATTGTACACTTTACGCGCGTTCAATTTGCATTATTTGCGCCGTTTACAGTAGATAATTTAACAAATTTTGACAAAATTGAACAATTTGCAAATGCCTGGATTGCAACAATGCACAAAAACGAATACACATGCACTTCTTATGCATACACAAAAAACGACAACTTAAAAGACGAAAACCAGAACAAGACGGCGGCCGCGACAGCGTTGTGAGTTGCTGGCCGTGCGGAGTTATACTAAACTCTGCTCTCCGTCGACGGTTTTTGTTGCTGCAGTAGCACACACAAACATGACCCAGCAGGAAAACTACCTATGCATATGTCTGCCTTTTCGTGTACAGCGCGCGGTGGTGTTTTGCCTACACGATGCATATGTAAACGTTTTACATGGCACTGTTTCTTTTTTTTTTTTTCAAGAGTTTTGTAAATAGTCTTAGGTATTTGGATTCAACAAGTTTGCATATAACTGTAATATTTTAAATTTATGCAAGAATCAAACAATGCCGTAAGATTTTTGAAAATGCCAGAATATATTTGATATATTTTATATAAATTTATGTTAGTGATAAACTGATACGTACAGAAGCGCTTTGCACTACATCGTTTCCTACTGGGTATTTGAGCATTAAGTGAGAGAGGAAAGCGCCGTTCCCAGTTGTTGTTGTTGTTATCTGCAGCCGGTTTTCAGTGAGGGATTATTGATGTATGTATGTGTGTATAGACTGCATGTTATGTCTGCACGTAGGCCAGACACACACACACACACACACACCATCACCAATACAAATGACAGCGACATGTACAAAAACAAAATGAAGCGCGCATAAGAACTCCAACTTAGCGACAGCATAAAAATAAACACACACAACTACAGAGAGTAAGCACAACTTAACTGGAAAAACGTCACCCAGTGAACAAAATTGAGAGCACGACGATAAGGTTTAGTGACGCAAAAACTTAATTGGTAATTATATTAGTTTTGAATATAGGGGAAATTATCAAGAAATATTTTAATCATAAAAATTTCCCTATGACGCATTAATTTATGCTACTTTGAACTTCTCATAAATATTAATTTTTAACAACGTACATACATATATAAAAATAACGTAATAAAAAATGTAGTTTGTGTGACTATTCTTATCATATTTTGTTTAGTTAAAGATATTTAAAATAATAATAAAAGCACAAATGTCGTCCCTATAGAATACTTCTTATCTGTAATGACTTTTGCCGAACAAAATGTTGACTGGGAAGCGTTCGTCAAAGGAGAACGCATAAAAGTGAATCTTTCACAAGCGCTCAAATACACAGATACAAATGCACACACCAACACAAATGCAAGCTCTAATACACAGCGAATGTCGTAATGCTGTTGATGTTGTAATAATATAATACGCCAACAACAGTGACGACAGTGTTATCAATGCAGACAGCCAACTTTAAATGACCAGGAAGCGAAAACGACGAAAAGCTTAGCAAAACAAATTGTAAGAAGAGGAGATAACAAATAATAGAAAAAGTACTGGAAATTATTTGCTCGCTTAATTGGGCTCAATATTTATAAATGTTTTATATGATTAACTGTTCCTAACCACTCACATCGTATGGGAACAGTTTGAGCTGCGCGTGAGCGCAAATAGACCAGAGAGAGAGAGAGAGAGAGAGAGAGAGAGAGAGAGAGGGAGAGAGAGCGCCCATTGCAACATACTAACAGACAACAACAATGTTTGTAACGACTGTTCGCGCTCTCTCCTTCGCTCTCGCTCTCGCTTCTGCGTATGTGTTTCGTGTGCTTTATGCAATGCTATCAACGGGGGCGGGTGCTGCATGCAGGTTAATTCTGTTGTTGTTGCTGTTGCTGCCTGAGCCAGACAGCGCCGTCGACGATTGAAGAAGACAAAACAGGAAAATAAAAAATAATTGAATTGTAAGACGATGTTAACCAGGAGAATGAGGTGGCAGCAGAGGAGTCCCACAGACCACCAGACAGACATTTGCAATTGCCAATAAATAAAAAAGAAGAGTCGGAGTCGGAAGAGCAAGAGGTAGCATAATTTGTGATGCAAATAAATGGAAATACAAAGACCGAAAGATCATGGGGTAGAAAAAATAACGTTAAGTGGCATTTACCTGACGACGGAGAGCAGCAGGAGGAGCTGCAGCTCGGCTGAGCGTGCCTGTTTTACAAAACAAACAACGCAAAGCGACTGGAAAATGGGAACGGCACAAACATTGCCGTTGCATAGTCAACGGTTGGCCATGTTCTCCTTACCCGCTCTCGCACCCGCTCCCACTACTTGTCACTGTCCCCCTTTCCGCTCCCGCTCAGCCCGCTAGCTTGCTTGTAATCAAATCAAAGAAGGTGGCAAAGAGCACAATAATGGCGCCGGATTGTCATAAACGTACAAAGTTAAAAAATTAATTTTAATATGCAACTGTTGTCGTTGTTGTACCTTCAGGTTTCTACGACAACAAAGAATTTTCGCTGTGATGAGAGCGACAGCCATTCGACATGCTTAATTAACAGACTCTAAGGCCTGAGCCATGTTATATCCATTAATGCATATGCATCAGAGCAAGAGGCTCTGCTGCCGGGCCAGACAGGTGCTTGATGCTGGTCGCATTTGGGATTTCGGTCCGCTCGGTTGGGTCATTCAACTTGAAAAAGGGCAACTGGCACATCAAGGAGCAAACAGAGCATATTGCGTGCAAATATTTGATCAGGCCGCGTTTCACTGAATAAACTCATTTCATGTGGCTTAAATTGATAAACAAAAATGCATAAAGGGGCTATGGCTAGGCAAATATATTTCAAAGATCAAGTTTTATTAAAAATGTCAACAGCCAAATAAATATTTACAACGCACACGCACACGCACACGCACACACACATGGGTGGGTGGGAACAGTGCATAAGAGACGAGTTACTGTCAACGCACTGTAAGTGAATTAACAGCCATTTAACAGATACAACAATAGATTAGCTGTAACTGGCAAATGCCAAACACTATTAACATCTATAAATGCAACATCTGTTAAACTATGCTTTATAACAGTATCCGTGTCAGCTATGAGAATATTGAAAAGGTAAGCGAGTAAACGTTTGCCGCTATAAAAGTAAAATGTACGACAATAAAACTCAGACGGGACACGTGTCGCGCCTATGAATATGTCAAATGCAGGAAGGACGAACGCCGGCAACGCACACCCACAGCCAAAAAAAAAAAAAAAAAGGTATGGAATTTGTTGCCGGGTAAACCTGACGGTAGGTCTAGCGTAACTCGGCCTCCTGCCGTACAAAACAATTAATTGCTTTCGGAAAATCATTTGGCGAAATGTTTGATTTTTATGACTTCTCAGAGCGGGAATCAGTTAAGCCACCGGTACAACAAATTTTATGAGGCACTGTCATAAAACGACAAACAGCGAGAGCATAAAAAATTTGTGCGATTCTCTCTTATACGCTGTATATATACAGTATACGAGAGCACGTTTTCAATAGTTCAATATCAATTTTGACATGCGCTCATAATTAAATACAGTTACGGATGACAAATTTATAACTTATCACCAACCACCCCACACACACACACACACGCACAGTAGGCAGAGGTCATAGACACAACCACCACCAACACCACAGTACTGTTAATAACACAGCATGAGGTCCTTCCGATTATGATTATTCTCTTTCTTGTCGCGAAATGTGTAACGCATAGAAGAAGACTCTCCGATCTGATAAAGTATATACATATATATTTTCAATATATGTACATTTTTAATTGACCGGATCGGAACACTATATAACTGTCAAATCGGTCGATTGGTGTTCATTAATCTTATACAATCATGAAACTATGCATCTTAGATATAAGTAAACTTATATATAAATACTTCTGCAAGGGTATTCAATCTTCGGCGTGCTTCTAGTTACTTGCGCAGTCTGACAAACCGCCCGTTGTTTGTGATTGTTGCTCTTTACAATAAATGTGGTTATTGTTCCATGTTAAAAATGAACTGCAATTTCGACTTTATAATTTGTAGTCAATGTGACCAGCTTGAAAACAGCCCCAAATGCACAACCCCCCCCTTCTCCGACAGAGCGCAAAGATTTGGTAATGTGAAATCGATAGTTTGGCCATAAAATGCGCAAATGTAATCGGTATGTGGGATGTGGAAGGTAATCAAAATGATGAATGTAATGAATGAAAGATATTTGGAGCATATCATTCAAATTAGAAATGGGTTTAAAAGGCAATCTGTTAACCATTTATTTGCTTTGATTTGCCCACTTGAAAGCCTTGGGATATGTGTATATTCCTGTACGTCAAGACGAGCCCACCCACTCACGTTTGTCTTAATGCCATACTTTGTTTCGTAATCAAGAACGCCTTAATATGCAGATAGACACATATTTCATTCACACATAAATCCATTCGCGCCACTGATCACAAGATATTAAAGATTAATTAAAGCCAAAAAGAAATATGTATATATATATATATATATAAATATATGAACTATATTTAGAGCTCATCAGCATAGTCATCCGTCGACGTTGTTTATCAATCGGAAAATGTTAAGATCTGTTTTGCATGTGTCATATGTGCAAAAATGTTTGAAAAACGATTCACTCAAAAATAGACGCTGACTAGGAAGGTCTAAAAATATGGCATAGCTACGTATCGCAGCGCGAACAACGAGTGAATAGCATATCGAAAACACACCTGGCTGGCTGCAAACGACCTCAGACAATTTATTTCATTTATTTTTGCTATTGAAAAAAATTAAAGAAAATAATATAAGTATCTATATGCTTGTATGTGGTATGGTATGTGGCATTCGGATGAGTGTGCCGCCCGCCTGGCATGGCAACGTCAACTATTTTTCGTTGCCAACGTCATTTCAGATACTAACTAAAGTAAACGACTTGCAGATACCCTGTACTCAACGATGAGCTCTTAAATATGGCATATAAGAAATATATACAAAGGGTTTTATCTATTTCAAATACCAAGTTAACTAATACAAAGTGTTATATTCTCGACTTGCAGATACCCTGTACTCAACGATGAGCTCTCAAATATGGCATATAAGAAATATATACAAAGGGTTTTATCTATTTCAAATACCAAGTTAACTAAGACAAAGTGTTATATTCTCGACTTGCAGATACCCTGTACTCAACGATGAGCTCTCAAATATGGCATACAAAAGATATATACAAAAGGCTTTATCTATTTCAAATACCAAGTTAACTAAGACAATGTGTTATATGCCACGACTTGGAGATACCCTATACTTAAAGATGAGCTAGTGTTAAGCTCCAAATACCTGATCTAAAAATGGATTTCTTTTTATCGATTTTGTGAAAACTGAAAACAGTAGAAGGGTTGAAACTCATGGGATTACGAAATGATCTCAAAGGGCCCATTGTTATTTATGACGTCTTCTGTTAGGCGTTTCACATTTCATGACAAGCTTCTAATACCCTATACATAGTACTAAGGAATACTTAATGTATAATCCAAGACTCTCAGATATCCTATTGAGTTGTTGGTGCAATCCAAGTATATTTTAAACTAATTAAAAATGTCAATTTTTCAATTAAAATGAACAAAGTTACTTTTGACAACAACAAACTTTTAGATTGCGTATGTTAAGTTCTTCATAACGATATACTCTATAATATTAAGCATTTAACTCATTTTATAGGGTATTTTGAGACCTATCACAAATTAAAACTTGTATTTGCAACATTGAAAACATTTCAAATGGATATCGAAAGCCTTAAATATTATTTGTTTTATTGAACTAATTGGCTTTAAATATGGAATATGTCCTCAAGGAAATTTCACGTTTTCCCAGCTTAAAATAGATTTTTATTTCGATTTGTCATAGGAAAAACTTGAACTGTTGTTATTCAAACTATTTAGGCAGATTTTGTTTGTTATATATATTAAATATATAATTTTGCGAAAATTAAATGTGTCCTCAATTTAAAGAGAACCCATTAAATAAATGACTTCCTTACGCTTAAGTGTCATTATTTTGTGTAAAATGTGAGTCTTGCCTTGTGTCGTAAATGTTTCTTAAATAAAAGCAAACTAATAAAGACAAATTGCTTGAGGGTGTATTTATAGAAAAATCAATCAATTTTGTTATTATCTAACCTGGAATAATAGTTATTTATTTAAATACAGCTGTGAAAGCCTAAATATTCTACGCTTCACTGCGTGACTCATTTTTCTTTAAATTAAATTTGTTTTTAATTAATTAGTAATAAAAACCCGCATTTTATACGTATAAATAAAACAACTAGGATATATTTTGGCTTTTATTTTGTTGTTGTTGTTATTTATCCTTTAGTAGAAAATGCCCAGAAAGTTGTGAGAATTTAATCAACTAATAGAGAAAACGCAGAAAAACTCTTTTTTTAATTAAAACGGAAAATTAAAGATTACCACGTCACGCCGAAGAGTTGATGCCCTTGTAGGCATTTCTGCCGAGAAAAGTGCAGGTCGAAAATCTTTTAAAACAGAATAGTTTTCCATACAAGATCGTGCTATTACACCGATGTTTCCTATATTGGCTATATGATATAATGAACCGATGCAAATAAGATTTTGCATAAATGTGGAGGGTATGCCAAAACTAATAAATGTCGAATTTGGGGTGAGATATTTTAAAAACAAACAAATGTTCCATACAAGTACTCGATTTTTGACAGATGGTTCCAATGGCAGCTATATGATATAGTTATCCGATGTTGAAATTTACAGTTAAGTAGGAAGCATTATAAAACTTTCCAATGACAATTTTGGGTAAGATATCTTGACAAGCTAAGGAGTTTTTCATACAAGAACCTACTTTTGGACCGATCGCTCCTATGGCAGATATACGATATAGGTGTCCGATCCGGTCTTAATAGAAGACGATAGCTTTAAAACCGAGAGAGGATTCGGCTTTGGACGCTTATCTAGAATATGCGTATATATTCTATAGGGGCGAAGATATCTCCTCCTATGCGTTACACATTTCATGACAAAATTAGAATACCCTACACAAGGGTATACTGAGCGATATGATCACATTTGACAAGAACAAGATAATAATTATGAATCCTTCACAAAGATATATTTTATTTATAATATCGAACATCAAGACAGGATTAACTAGTTAGCCAAGAAACTTGCATGCGGTTTGTATTGTAAATAATTTTGAGAAATTTTCGGTTAACATTTCCATTGCCTGTTTGTCAATAAAGTAGCTTTGACGAATGCATTAAATACTCCAAATACTCTATAATTCTTCAGTACAACAGGCTCAATTAGTTTGCCAGAATATAGAGAATTGTAAATATTGCAAAAATTGTAAATATTTTGTGAGAAATTTTCGGTTGATGACGCTGACATTAAAAGTCAAAACGTCGCCATTTCAATTAGTTGAAAGTGCTTTTCAGTTTCGAAAATGCGACATGACATGAATTCCAATTTCAATACTATAACTTACAAAAACCAAATAGCTCAAGAGCGTGCTCAAGAGCGCATTTTGCAATAGGAAAAAAAAAAAGCTGAATAAGCACGTGGGAAAACAAAATGTGTAATAAACAAATCAACTCTCTTGAGTGAAACGTGGCCGAGGCAGAGAGGAGCTTTCTCTCTCTCTCTCTTTTGGGCGCAATGCAGCATATTAGCATCATATTTATATTTAGAAAATCGTTTCGAATACGCTTATGGAACATTTCGTATGCTTCGAATGAGAACTGACTATACACAGTATATTTATATATATATACATATATATGTAGGTATAGCCACGTCGACACTTAAGTATAGCCAACGCAAGTTGAGCAATTATTTTGTATTTTTCACGAAGTCGGTCGATCGGTCGACAGCTAAATATAGACCAAATGCGGTGGCTCAATCTGAGATGCCAAACAAACGTGAAATATATATGGACCCCACAGTAAACACCCACTGAAAATCAAATAATACAGGTATGCCGACAAAAGAAAAACAAAATGAAAATAATGAAATTAATTGTTAAGTCAGAAAACACAAATTCCAAAAAGATTCGTTTTGTTTCCATGGAACCCACTGGGGCATATATTATTGGATGTTATGTGTGTTGTATATAGAGCGAGTCCAAGTATTTGCATGAAACCGAACATTGCTCATGAATTCGAATTAGCAGAAATAAGGAAAACGCAAACAAAAACGAATATTTCAAAAATATCATATCATCAAGATTTCGCAAGTACTTATTAACATATAAACTAAATAAGCTAAATATACATACATATATCATCATCATCAACATTATTTATCATTTATAATTTATCATTTATCAGTTATAATAATTATCATCGGGAGCAATAGCTCTCTACATTAGTTCTCTGGTTTTATATTGGAGCATATTAGATACTTTCTTTCGCATTGAAGTCGATGAACAACATAAATAGAAATATCTCCGCGGTACAGTTGCCCCTCCAAACTGTTAGCTGCAACTGTGCCCAATGTTAGCCTGCATCATCTGCTTCTCTATTATTTTCAGTTTTATAATATTGTTATTATTATTATATATTATATTTATTTATTTTTTTTTAGCCTGTGCCATTGTCGGTACTTGATTCGTTAGTTGGCGTTCGATAGTTAATTTCGCATTATTTGTTTTTGGTTTTTCGTAAGTTTTTGAACTTCATTTTTTTGTTGTTGGTTTTTTTCAAAGTTTCTTTTATTTATTTTTTTGTTTAGTTTTTGTTGTTTTTTTTTTTTTTGTTCTGTTTGTAAAGCTTATTCTCACATAACCTAAGACAAAAACATAAGACGTTTCTGCATTTCGTTCATCAAAAATCGTTGGAAAACCGAAGACTAAGTTAGCTAGCATTGTGGATAAGTTGAATTAGTTTCTGGGTAACAGCTAGAAGTTGAAAACGGAAAATAATGATCGGAACGATAGCTGCTGTTGCTGGTAATTTAAATAAGTTGTGGCTGGGGGGTTTTGCATTTTGTTTTCATTTTTTGTTTGTTTTTTTTTTTTTTTTTTTTTTTTTTTAGAACGTTGTCAAAGCGCCCGCGCCGAGGCCATAGCCCACGCCCTTGGGCCCGAAATTGCGGCTGTAGCAGGAGCGGCAGTAGATGTCGCCATCGGGTCCATCGTTGAGATTCGTCGAGTCGAGAGATTTGCGGCAATCGGAACAGTAGAAGCAGCGCTTGTGCCAGATGCGGCTCTTGCTGATCATCTGTTCGGCGGCGAAGACAGCAAAGCCGCAGCGCGGGCAGCCGCCGGAGGTCTTCTGACCATTTAATGGACCACCGTCGGGAAACTGGATGGTGGACTCGCCGCTGGTCGAGACGAGCGTGGGCGCATGGCCATAGCCAAAGCCCTTGGGACCAAAGTGCTTGCCATAGCAGGCCTTGCAATAGATGTCGCCATCGGGCCCGTCGCAGGCCAGCATCGAGTCGAGTGGACGATGGCAGTCGGTGCAGTTGTAGCACTTTCTGTGCCACATCTTGCCCTTGGAGAGCTGCTGTTCGGCCGCAAAGACGGCACCGCCGCAACGTGGGCAGCCCTCGCCTTCGGGCGCCTTGATGGAGGTGGTGTCGGGATTGATGAAGGGGCGACTGGAGCTGATCTGATCCTCGGTCAGGCCATCGGTTTGCAGGAAACCAGAGCCGCAGGCAAAGCCATAGCCATGTGGTCCCCACTTCTTGCCGTAGCAGGTCCTGCAGTAGACATCGCCATCAGGTCCGTCGGTGGCATTGATCGAATCCAGCGTCTTTTTGCAGTCTTTGCAGTTGAAGCACTTCTTGTGCCACTCACGGCCCTTGGACAGCTTCTGCTCGGCGGCAAAGACGGCGCCACCGCAACGCGGACAACCCTCGCCGGGACGCGCCCTGATCTTGTCCACCTCGATGGCGGCGCGCATCTGCGGTGCACCCTCGTCGCTAGCAATGCAATCGGACTGGAGGGCGCCGCCGCCCTGGCCATAGCCGTAGCCCTTGGGTCCGAACTGCTTGGCATAGCAGCCCTTGCAGTAGATGTTCTTGTCGGGCGCCTCGCAGCACAGTATCGAGTCGAGGCCCTTCTTGCAGGTGCCGCACTTGAAGCACTCCTTGTGCCAGCCGCGTCCGCGGGCCAGCATCTGTTCGGCGGCATAGACATAGCCGCCGCATCTGGGGCAACCCTCGCCCTCCGGCGCCCTGGCAATGGCGCGCGGCTCAAGACGGGCGCCATTCCTTACCACATCGTGACCGTTCTGGAACTGTGCGCCGTTGTCCATGGAGAGTGTGCCGGCGCCGGTGCCAAAACCGTAGCCCTTGGGCCCGTATTTGCGTCCGTGGCATACCTTGCAGTAGAGCTCGCGCTCGTGCTCTGTGCAGTTGGTCGAGTCCAGGGATTTGTTGCACATGGAGCACTTGAAGCAGTTCTTGTGGAATACATAACCGCCCGCCAGTCGCTCCTCGGCGGCGTATACGCTCTTGCCGCAGCGCGGGCATTTCGGGGATTCAATCGGTTGAAGGGGCATTATGCGACTGACTGTATTTGTTTATTCGAGTTGCGATATATATCTATATATATATATATATGTATGTGTATATGTTTCCAATCAAATTGAGCTCTAACCACGACCTGGGGTACAATTAACCGTATCTGTATCTATGTATATTATGCTTATTATCTGAAAGTGCAAACAGAGAGCAGAATATAACACCACATTCAGTGCGAGCATTGTCTCGGGCCAAGCGAACTGAAGCAAAGCTCTGGCGTTGCTGGTTTTTTGATGGAGATGTTGGTTTTTTGTATACTTTTTTGTTGGTTCTGGTGGATGTGATGATGATGATTTAAGCGCTGCATGAGACGAAAAGTAGCTGATCTAAGAGTTTGCATTAACTCTACATTTTAGTACATGTACCAAACACAAATTTCAAGCAATATTTTTCATCAATAAATATTAATTTTTCCTTTTAAATTATCTTATGGTATTTCTATAAGTTTACTGATATGAAAGAGCTTGAAATTTGGCTTTGTTTTATGTTTTAGTACATGTAAAACAATATGTCTGCGTCGTTCAAAATGTTCGTACCATGTTAGTCTGAATGCTGTTAACTGATCTAAAAGTCTGCATTAACTCTAGCTGAGGCTGTTTACATACTTTTTAGTACATGTACCAACACACATTTCCAGCAATATAGATTGTTTTCATATATTCATTTTTCCTTTGAAAGTCAATGTATGAGATCTGAGCTTAAGGAGCTTGGCCTTGTTATACATTTTAGTACATGTAATAAAAGTGCTAAAACAATATGTCTGTGTTGTTCTCAATGTTCGTACCAGGTAACTGATCTAAAGTCTTAGTACTCTAATAAAATTTACATATAATTTAGAACTGACTTTTTGATTTAATTGTGTATTTCGACTCTGTTTCTTTATCTGATCTAAAGTCTATATAAAGTTATTTGCTGCTGTCATAATTTAGTACATGTGCTAAATCCCGTTTTGCAATATTTATATATATTCTTCTTGAGTCTATTCCTATTGACTGTATTTAAATGATCTAAAACCGAAATATGCTTGAAAATTTAGTCCAAATTCTTTGAGTATTATCTTTTATAAGCTCTTAGCTAATCATCTGTCATAATCATAGTGTACGCTAATGAATATCTTTGCTTTTTTTTTAAAGAAAATTACCCAACAACCACGCAGACAAACACACACACACACTATCTATCTATGATGGGCTAAAAGAAAACACAGAAATATTTCATTTTGAATAGGAAAAATTCGTGTTTTGTTGCTTGCAAACAAATTTGAGCAATAATAAATGTGTATCTGTCTCTGGCTGCGAGAGAAACTTTTATAAAAATAACACAGGTGAACACACAAAAATATGAACGCTTCTCGCTTCTCGATGACCAAAATCCATCTATTCCAATCAGTCTGAGTCACTGTCCCGGTCCGTGTCTTGGGCATGCGGTACAGTGGGTCAAATATGTATGCATGCATGCAAATGAAGATGTTTACTTTTGGTAACTGGCAATTGGTTAGTGCAGGTGCAATATCGTTTCAGCAGCCACCACGTTTTAGATATGCATATAATATATATAAATATATACATATATACGGATATATAGATATATATACATATATATATATATATGTGAAGGAACAGCACCTACATCGACACAAACACCACACACGGAGGAACTGAGTACTGAACTGGAAGATTGCTCAACGCAAACTAATCTATAGAATTGTGAGTGCACACGGCACACGGCGCTGGCTTTTTGCTCCGTCTTCAGTTTTATACGATTTTTCTATATTTTTTTTTTTTTTTTTTGGGTTTGTTTTTGAGTTGATTTGAGAAACTTTAGATGCGGAACAATTTTCATCTAATATCTCGCCAGAGAGTGGGATGGAAATATGACTGTGTGCGTTGCTCAGTGTGTGTGTGTGCGAGTGTGTGTGTGTGCGAGTGTGTGCGTGTGTATCTCAAAAGCAGCCAAGGCAGCGGCGTCTGTGGTTTTTCAACTTGTTCTACACATACGCACACACACACACACACACATGCACACACGCGCGCGTTGAAAAGTTTTTCATTTCACATCATTCGGGCGATTCTCTTGCTGTTTTTCTTTTTGTATTTTTATTTTTTTATGTGCGGTAACAGGGCGAAAATGTTGTGCGAAAATTCTTGCTACGCTTGTGCAGCTCAACAAATCGAGTTGAGAAATGCATTATCATGATTAGCTAATTGAATGCTAGGCGAATCTCCATTCCGATTGTTTACACTACGATCAAAGGTCATGGAGCATATTTCGGATTTATTGCCTTTGCACAAATATGCATGAGATATATAACTAGATATATCTATTTAGAGTTGCCATAGTGGAAGTGTCCTGGCAACTTTACGCACATTTTTTTTTTTTTTTTTTTCAAAATTTCTACAAATTTTACTAGCCTCTACATATTTTTGTGCGTGTTTTCTTTTTCACGCTAGGCAAAAAGCTTTTTCACTAAAAAAACGCATCTATAAATACGAGTTCGTGGGAAATGTTTCCCCAATGGAGCTACATTTTGATTCTCTTTAGTTTCGTTATTTCTTTTTATTTTTCTATTTTTTTCGTGGTGTCAAAATGTGTGCCAAATTTGTGCGGCGCTTCTATAATTAAACTTCATCATATGCAATTCTGCGCGATTTTGGTGGCAGCTTTAACCGATATTTACAGAGCACAGCACGACTTTTTCTACATGCATATATATATTTATATATATATATATATTTAAATGTTATTTGGATGTGTATGCAGCTGTGTGCGAGACTCTCGAATATATTTACTTTTCGTTCGTAATAATAAAAATTCGCAAAAAATTGTTCTTTCTTAATTGTAGTAGAGCCTTTTGGCTTCGGTTAGCAACGATTTTCGACTGAGCGGGCTAGAAAATTGTCAACTTTTTGTTGGGGGGCCCGATACCCTGGCGCTACGTGGGCTAAGACTGAGCAAATTTTGTCTGCACACGGCACAACGATAGCGACAATGACAACGAGTTGTTTGTCGCCGCAGCCAAACGATAGGGATGGCAATATACCCGAAACAAAAACAAAAGACAACAACAACAACAACAACAACAACAGAAACCAAACAGGCCCAACAAATCAAAATGTTGCATAGTATAAGACGTCTTCAATGCGATCATTGTCGTAAATTTGATCGAAAATTTAACATCGCATTTTGCCGAATTTTCCAGCAGCCAAATTAACATGAAAAATTAATATAAAAAGCAGTAATTATGCATTTAATACCCTGTGGCCACAGTTGTTGGGCTAATCTAACTAGAAACGTATTCTACACTCTAAGGCAACCAATTTGGTTCAACAGCCAAGAGGGCATCTTCCGGTCGAGCAAACATTGATTCTACTTATTTTTTTTTTTTTTGTGGTTATGTTGTTCATAAATTAACGTACACTTTGCATTTAATTAAAAATGAATATGCATCGTTTTGGCGTGCATATTTTTTGATATTAAAGGCAAATTAATGGGGCATGGACACGTCAATGTACATCAATCACATCGAAAAATAGAAATGGAAAATACTTGATAGAATCGAAAACAGACAGCGAAATTAAAAATACCCTAATTGCTGCAAATCAAAACATGTTAGGGTGCTCTAATCATAGATTAGCAAATACCCTGTATCTGGAAAAAGAAAACCATTCGAAAGCATACAAAGATAAAATCAATAGAAACAACGCAGCTGAAACTCTTATTTTGCTGAGAATAAATTTAAATATAAGTACTTTTTCAAGTTTTTGTATGGGTCTTACAGAAATTTTATCGCCTCTCAAATCACAGAATTACAATTCAGATGCGACCATTCCCAAAGTTTTACCCTTCCGGACGTATTTTTTAATTTAACTTAAGTTTTCCCACTTTTATATCATATTTTGGTTTACCCTTTTCATTAGCTTGGATTTTGATTTAAAATAATGCTCGTATAATTATGTAAACATAATTAACATTTTTGTATGCTGTTAAGACGATGTTGTTGCTAGTATAACAGAAGTATAACATTGATAATAATGTATACCAGTGAATATAAATTGTTAAATATAAATTGTTAAATATGTTAAATATGGGTTTTTTACTTCATAAGGTGTATAATACATACTTTTATTTTTATCGAGAACAGATAATAAATATGAAATAACCGGGTAGATCTATTCCCATATAGCACATGTAACGTAATACAGGTAAAAAAAGTAACGGAAAGAACGTAAAGATTTTGATGATGTGTCAAAACTGGTAAAACCAAATTTGGAAGAGATATCTTAAGAGCAAAAAGCTTTAGGGTTTTCTGACTGACTTTTAACTGAGAGACCGACGGATGATGATGCTGGCATGCAATATATATATATACATTGCGTTAGATGCGTCACAGAATTTATAAAATGAAAACACCCTTTGCAGTTGTACACAAATATAGAGGGTATTATTGAAAAACACGAAATTCTCGAGCGTTTCTTTGGGGTATGCGCACCTACAGAACATATATTGCACATGTATCGAGATGCGCACCTTGTGTTTCTAGACGTTTCATTTATATATTTTCAGAAAGGTGTATGCATTAATAATTGCATTTCTACTTATAAATATGATACGAAAGTTGGCAAAGCGCCTGCGCCGTCGGCTGCGCGAAGCGAGCGAGTGAAATGGTTATAGAATCATGTTGACCAAACCAGCCAGCCCATCCTCTCCAACTGATTGTCGGGTGTGGGGGCCGAGAGCGGCAACAGCGCTGGCACTTGACAAGTTGTAGACAAGTGTACAAGATTAGAAGACTATTATTCAAAAGGCAACTTTGTAGCCAGGCGAGAGCATATTGGCAGTTGAAGAGAACTCTAAGAGCATCGAATTGACTCAAGAGCTTTTGCTCTGGCTGCCGTTGAATTGTTTATTGTACTATTTATAGGACGTGCTCGCAGAGAGCCAGAGATAAACAAAACTAGAAATTGACTCACCCGCTTGGAGCTCTTCTCGATTTCCTTCTCAAAGTCCGTCAGAGGCGTCAGCGTCACGTGCACATCCTTGATAATATTCCGAAATGAGCTGCAACATTGAAGATTTATGTTTAAACAGAGTCGCCAAATTGATTCATGATCGTTAATTACCTGTTGTGATCGTCCAGGTTGATGCTGGTGATCGATTTGGCAGCGTCCACCTTGCGCTTTTTGGACGCCGAGGAGCTGCTTGCTGTCGACGGCTGACTGTGACCGGTCGTTGTTGTGGATGTTGCTGTGGCAATCGATGATGATGGAACTGTCTTGCTGCTGCTGCTGCTCAAATTGGAGCTGATGCCACCGAGTCCAAGTGGATTGGGCACGCTGTTTGCGGACGTACCAGCGCCCGACAAACCCTCCAATTTGCCTGCATTGCTGTTGCCAGTCATGGAGGCAGACGCTTCCTTTGCATTGGCATTGCTGTTGCTGCTGCTGCTGCTTGTGGCTTGCAGCTCGGCTCCGAAGCCGCCGCCCAAATTGGTGGCCAATTGCAGTTTGCCCGTAACACCGGCGCCTGAACTGGGCAAGCCAGACGTGCTCAGGTTCTGGGCATGATTACTATGCTCACTTATCGAGGCGGCAGTCACGCCGCTACTAGATACATGTGCTGCCGAGCTGGAACTGCTGCTGGCCGTTATGCTGCTGGCACTGGGCATGTTGCTGCTGCTTGTGGCAATACTGCTGCTGCTGCTGGCGGCTACGACAGTGGCTTCCTTCGCGATATCCTTGCTTTTCGATGACTTTGAGGACTTCTCGCGCGACGACGATGAGGAGGAGGACGATGACGAGGCTGATGAGTGTGTAAAACTGTTGTTTGATGAATTGCTACCGCCATCCTTTTCCTTGCTGTCCTTGCTGGAACCTGAGCCTGACTGTTTGCCCAAGCTTTTACTATGCTTATCTTTATAGCTGCTGCTCGAGCTGGTGGCTGATGATTTAGTACTTGAATTGCTGGGCGCTATTGCACTGTTGCCGCTGCCGCTGCCGGCTCCAGGTATCGTGTTGCCTGTGATGGAATTACCACTGCCGCTGGCACTGCCACCGCTAGGGTTTGAGGTATGTGTGACCGCAACGTTGCCGCCGACAGCGCCCGTTAAGCTGTTGCTTATGGCATTATTGTTATTGCTAGCGGAGTTGCTGCTGCTACTGCCGGATAGAAAACTGCTTGCAGTTGAAGGAGTTGCCGCAACGCCAGCATTGGAGGTGCTTGAGGAATTTGGTAGGCCCGTTGCTGCTGCGGAGCTATTGCCCGATGACATCGATGATTTACCGGAGGCATTTGATTTGCGCTGCTTGGATGAGGATGAGACATTGCTGCCACTGCTTGACAGGCTTGTGGAGCTGGCGGCCAATGTGCTGCTGGTTATTTTGATGCTAGTCGCTGAGGTGGAGGCCGAGTTCATGGTTGAATCGATTTCCTTCTCGGGCGACGAGCACGAATCGGAGGAGGTGTCATGTTGTACGGGTTTGTAGGGTGGTATAGTTTTGACGTTTCCGCCCTTTTTCTGCAATATATATGACAAGGCATGAGTGTATAACGAAGAACACACAAACACATACTCACCAATTTACTGTAGTGATGCTGGCAGTAGCCGCAGTACTTAACATTATCCAGATAGTTGCCAGCCTCCTCGCAGAGCAGGCCCAAGCTTTGGGCGCAGGTCACATGGAACTGCTGCTTGCAATTGGCCTTATTGCACTGCATGCAGGCACCGACATTGGCACGATTTGGCTTCCCGATTTCCAAGCAAATGTAGCAGGCTGTAAATAAGATGCAAAACAGTTAGTGAATGCAACAGCTACTGCAAAGATGACTCACTCTTGGAGTAGCGTTCTTGCGGTATTAAAGTCAGTATAATGGGCTCCATGGTGGTCACGTTGCCAAACCGAATCTCGGGTATGTACAGGGCGCACACAACATGGGCCCAGCCGCTGGTGTCTGTCTTCTTGAGGGCGCCATCTCGTGAGGGGCATATCTCGCAGCGTACACGCGAGGTGCGCTCCTGGGACTCGCATTTCCGACAATACCAGGGTCCAGTGGGCACGGTAACGATGCCATAGCATGCCTGATGCACGGCAACGGTACAGTTTTGGCCGTCACAGTAGACGAGCGGGTTCTCCGGCCACCCCCGCTCGTCCGAACAAACGCAACAGCCGCCCACCATTTCCTTCATATCGTCCAGCTTAAATTTTTTAATTTTGATTAATTTTCTATTCAAGTTGGTGGACTGAATGGTGTCGTCGTTGCTGCTGGAGTCTAACAACTCCAGTTTTGCATTTACTGATGAAGGAATTGCGTCTGTTTACAAGCACCCACTGCAAGAGCAAAGAAAATATATATATATATAAATAAATATAAATAATTCAAACTAGACTTGCATAAACTTAACTATTCAACAAGAAAAAAGTCTATCTATCTAATATTTCTAATACCCCGAATATATAACTTAGAAATCATGTTATTAGTGGAAGTCAGCTTGGATTCCAATAATATTGTGTTTCATAAGTTTATATTTATCATTAAAATTCTTTCAAATATTTGATTCATTTAGTTATAAGTCTCGAATTTGATTTGATTGTTTTAATAGAGTTTAAAGGATTAAAGATATGCAAATCTTGTAGGCAAGATTTGACCAGGCTATATAGCTAAACACTCAGCCTTTAGCAAGGAAATTTAAAATATGCGTAATATATATATATATATATAGACATTGTCACATATGAGTATAAGCTTCTAGATCCTTTAAAAGGTAGTGCAAAATATTAAATTACAGAGCGAATTTTTGTATATTGCAATTTCAGTGCGTGACGGTACTTACCGGAAAATGATTAGATTGGGTCAATTGACAGGTGCAAGCAGTCAACTAACCTTGTAAAGCGTATAAAGCTAAAATAAATAACAGGAAATATATATGATGAAAATGTATAAATAGCTAAACAATTAAGCTTAATTGCGTTTAGGCAAGTTCTACAGTTGTGACAAAAACAAAAGTCCTCCAATCGATATATATCGACTAATTGTGTTATCGATATTTGCAGTGGCCGGTTGCATTGCAGGTGCCATATGCAAGGTCATTGGCGCATTCATAAACAATAATAATAATCATAACAATAACAACAACAACAACAGCAAAGAAAACAATGACAAGCGGCAGGCCGGGCCGGTATATTTATTAAATAATACTCAACGCAAATACACTGTGCGCCAGAGCGAGACAGCATGAGCGCACAATTCACACATACAAAAGTAGGTTCTGTTTGCAAAACACAAAAACATGCACGCACACACATACATATGTACATATGCACACACATATATAGCCGTCAATGTCAAGGTATATTTTGTTGGTGCCGCCAACGCACTTCGTTCAACAATTGTTGTTGTATTTGATTTTGATTTGGGGCGCACAAATTATGGCGATAAACATATCAACATCGTCCGACTAATGGGCACAATAATCGAATCCCATAAAAATACCAACAAATTTCGGTTACGTGCACCGATCACACAAATACACTCACACTCTCACACACGCGGGCATTCGAACGGTTGAGCATTCCACTGTTTGGTTGGTTCATTGAACTTGACGATGGCTCGTTTTTTTTTTCTTTTCTGTTTGTCTTGATGTAAACAAATTCACCGACAAAAATAAAACATAGTTTAAATTCTACACAGCTATTGTGTTGAATTTGATAATTCACTTAGTATTGTTCTTGCGGCACGGTACAATATCATATTTTGTTTAATTAGCACAAAAATTATGCACATGCATATGTGGGTCGCATCTGCTGAGATTTTCTAGCTACTGCAGCGACGACAACAACAACGACAGCCGCCGAGTGCCAGCCATGCTGGCTTTCATTCATGCTCAGTCTGTGTGTGTGTGTGTGCTTATGTATGCGGGTGTCTCGTTGTACCGTTATTGGGTCAACGCGTTGCCAACTGCCGAAAAGGTAGCGGCACCGATGCGCGTGTTGCCAACTGCGACGGGACCAACATTTATACGGTTAGTGTAAATAAAAGAGCTGAACACACGGACACACACACACACACACACACACACGGACGCATAAAACGAGGCCGCTCCGCACGCAGCTTTTGTAATGTTTACAATATAACGTTGGAGCAGGGGTAGCGGCAGAGCAATGCACTTTCGACGAGAACGCCTACACGCAGACAGATACACACACAGATTAGATGTACATATATAATATGTACGTGTATGTGTATATAACGCGAAATGCCGCATAAGGGGGCGCATTGGGGGAGGAATGTAACGGCACTTTATGTGTATATATATATATTTTATATGTATGTATGTATTTTCATCACTTGAAGCAAGATGCTCTGAAGGGGCTGGGCTGCGCCGGAGTAGGAGTTGGAGCAGGGCAGCGATTGCGAGGGTGGTTTGTGTTCCGCTTTTACACTTAAAGCATGCCACACAATTGAATTTCAACCAGTTTTCCACAAAAATGTGTATACCCAAAGCTTCAAATTATTGATTTTCTGCTATTACATTAAAATTAACTAGACTTGGGCACTTTAAAACGTCATCACATTCACTGGCAGGGTGAAAATTTAACCCAACACAAAAACAACAACAAGATCAGCAACAAAAAAAAAAAAAAAAAACAACGAAAACTAGTTTCAGTCCAAAAACAACATGAAAATGCGCGCGGTCAAAGTGGTCAAGCAACGCGAAGCGGCACACGCACACACACACACACACACACGTACGCACACACAAATAAGCAAAGCCAAGAAGGAATAAAAGAAATATCTGTTAAGGGAGCGGTAGCAGGCCCACCGTCAGCGTTTAAGCATGAAATTCTTTCGATACGCGTTTGTTGTTCTCATGAGCGCACTATATATTCTTATTGGAAAACCGGGCACAATGTGAATATTGATTTTCTCTACCAGCCACTTGATTTGTCACTTTGCTTTCCAATTCGCAAACTCGTTCGAGAGTTTTTCTTCTTGATTTTGCGTTCAGTTTAGAAGTTGACAAGGATTTACCCAGTTTTTCTTAAGCCGCAAGTGCCGGACGGTGACGATTCAGCCGCCCACGAGTTACAGAGCACGCAAGTAAAATAATCAACACACAAAAAAGGCGCTGAACATCCACCAGCAGCAGCAACAAAAACAACAACAACAACAACAACAACAGTATGCACGAGTATTTACCTTGTAACTTGTTTGTTGTTGTTTCGCTCGCACTGCAACCCAACTCGATGTTACGCCCGAATGAGACAACAACACCTGCACACTGACTGCTGTATACAAATGCAATTCTTCGACGACGTTTCAACCTGCGACAATTATACTAGATAAACCGCTTTTAATAACACTTTGTAGCCTCCCGAAGCTACATTAAAACTTTACAAATTATAGCGTTTTCAGACGACTTGCAACTTTTACAACGTTTTTAGACCACTGCGACCGTGACTCGCAATGGTAATATTGCAAGAACAAGAAAATCAATCGATGAATTCCAGCAATCGATATATGAAATATCGTTTGCAGCGCAGTCAACGCAATTTTGCTCTCGCAGCCAACTTCAAGTAAAATCAGCTGTTAACTAACAGAATTCAGTTGACACCAATTAGCATCAACAGACTGTGTTGCAACAGCTGTTGCGAAAAATCAATTTTGCAAATCCGCCTGTGTCTGTGCACATATTTTATTTAAACTATAAGAAAAATGTCCTCCAATGCTGACTGCTTTGTTGTGCTGCCCGTTAACTGTGCGTCTGACTCTCTAATTTTTGGTCGCAATGCCGAAGATTCAGACGCCGTAGGCGGCTTAGGCGTGTCAACGGAGGTCTGCTACTATGATGTCAGCGACGTTCTGGAGGGGAAGGTAAGCCAACAGCCAGACATACCTTAATGACTCATAGTGTACACTTGCCACATGTCAGACTGATGGCGGTGCTGCTTTAGAGCCGTCGGCCGATGCTCTGCGTGTTATATTGCAAAAACCGAAGCCGGCCCTTTGGGGCGGCGACTTTGGTGCCAACGAACGAGGCGTGGTCGTCAGCTTGACATGGAGTGATGGGGAACAACAGGCGGCAGACAGCGACAGCTTGCTGGGCACGGACATTGTGCGGTAAGTTAAAGTACCTATATGTATACGTAAGTATATTTTAATTAACACGTCTATTACAGCATAACGCTGGCCGAGTCCAACGAGGCGGAGGCGGCCGTTGATCGTATTGGGGCTTTGGTAGCCAAGCACAGCAATGACAGCGCCAAGCTGAACTTTATAGTGTGTGATCCCACGGCTGCCTGGATATTGAGTAGCGCCGGCAAAGTGTGGGCCGCCGAGAAACTGCAAGCCGGCTGGCTGCGTGTGCCCAGCGGTGGACTAACCGTAACCACAACCATTGACAAGTCCAGCGATGGCTTGGATACGGCCGCTAACTTTGCGGCTGCCCATGATGCGGAGGCGCAGGCGCCTGAAGCCGATTGGTGCGGCCCGAAACCCGACGGTGACGGCGACGGCAGTTACACGCAGCAAGATATGTTTGAGACGCTGCGCGAGGCGAGCGGTGCTGGCTCTCGAGCGGCAAATGTTTCAATGCTCAGCAGCAAGGGCAGCTCAATTTCGTGCCACTGGTTTACTGGCACGCCAAATGCCGCCGAGTCAGTGTTCAAGCCGTTTGTATTTGCGCCCAAGCCGCGTATATCGCCGCTGACCCAGGTGCAGCCTGACGCAGAGCAGACGCTGCTGCACAGTCTACATGCCAATCGTAAACCGGCTGCATTGGAGCATTTGAGGAGCTTGGAGCGCTCCTGTGTCGATGAATTGAACAACTACTTTTCGCTCCAGGATCATGCCAGCGATGAGCTGGACGAGCTGCTCAAGGATTGCGTTGAGGCCGAGGTCAAGTTCTATCGCTAGACCAAACAAATGGCGCATCGCATCACGTTATTATGATATATTGATAATCAATTAGCTTGCGACCAGGACGATGCTCCAATTCGATTTGACTTGTGCATTCCACATATACATATAAGTACATCATTAAATTGATAGGATACTCGAAAGATTAGCTCACTGCGAACTATTTAAGAATTTCGTCTCGTTTATTTTATAATTTTCTATGTTAGTTTTGTGCAATTATTTTGATGTTTTTGCTTTTGCGTGATATTTAATTATTTTTATAGAATTCATTGTCTCCTAATGTGCAATCATGATCTTCATTTCTAAGTATTATTCGTCCTTTTTTTTTTATTAAAAAAAAATTAATTTAATTGCAGCTTGCATTTAGCAGCTAATTAACGATTTAAATACTTGCATACAAATATATACATACATATTAAATATACAAACATGCATAATATAGCTCTCAAATAAACGCATAAAAAGCTGCATTTATACAAATATCCATGGAATTTTAAGTACAACCGGGCAATGCGAACAATTAGACAGACTCCACGACCAGATTCGTTTTGAATATTGTGTTGTCATTGTGCAGCGCTTCGAGCTTGGTTATCTCGAAGGCCTGATATACCTCTCGGAAGTCCATTATGTTGCGCGGCGAGCTGTCCATCCAGAAGCGATCGAATTCAAAGAACAGGTAACAATACAATTTGTGGAAATCCTCGAGCGTGCTGAAGTTTTGCTTATGCAGCGCCACCTGATTGTAAAAGTGCGTCTTGGCCGCGCCCGTGCGCAGCAAATTGAATGCTAGGGCGGTGAGATTGATGCCAACAATGGCATAGGTATAGCCCACAGTGGGATGCATTGAGTGCAGCAGCACATGCTTGGCGGCGTCATTGTAGGCGCTGGCAAAGTACAAGAGATTCTCTAGGCCCAACATGCCCATGCCACGAAAGTCCGTTTTGGGATCGTCCCCCTGGAAGCCAATGTCCTGCCACTGCTTGGATATGCGACCTGTCAACGGCGTCTCGGGCATCAGTAGCTGCCACAGCCGCATTAGCTTCTGCTCGTGCTCCGGATTCTCCGAGTCATATGGCTCGGCACGCAGCTGCTCCACCTGATGCATTAGACGTTTATAGCCCCAAATGGTGGTAACGCAATTGCCAAAGAGCCTACCGAAATCCGGATGCACATTACTCTTAATACGTTTAACATGCGAAACAACTTTAACGGCGCGGGGAGCTGCAAAGCCAACTTCTATTATCGAATGCACGGATTTAAGTTAATTTAACGCTGACTCACCAAAGTAGAGCAACTCTCTGTCGCTAGCATAGGGCGCCGCCTCGTCCAGTTCTCGTAACATGGTCTTTATTTCCGGCTGATTCGACTGCATGAGGGAACGTTCGATTTGGCGGCATCTCGGCGTGCCTGCTTTTGCTCCGTAGCATATTCGCTGGAGCTCGGAGAGGCGGGTAAACGCATGTAGGAACCACTTAATGAACGGTCGTATATAGCTAAAGATAAACGGCAGAATTTTGTCCAGTATAAACATTTTGCGATATAAAAATGTTCGTGCAAAGCGAATGTCTAGCATTTGTTTAGCGCAGCGTTGCCATGGCGTTGCGTTTGTTATTCACAAGAAAAAATATGGACAGCGTGGCCAGAGGTTACGTGGTGGTAATGCGCGTATATAGAACTTTTACTTAACAGCTGATTGCAGCAATAACAATAGAATAACAGCGAAACTCTGTATTTTTTTTTTGTAAGATCTGCAGCAGTGTTGTAAAGGTGTGTAATTTGCACAGCTGTTTCAATCAAAATATACATTTGCAGCAATTCAGCCATGTAAATACACAAATCAGCTGATCGAGTATTTATATATTGATATTATCAAATAAACTTAAGTCAGTTTTTTTTTTTTTTGCAAAAGGCTCTGTAATGCTTGCAAAGTAAGTTTTAATGCTTTTTGTGAGTTGCCAAACTAATTATGGGCTTCATTTTTTTCTTTTAAAATCCGAGCTAATTTATATATCTATGTACATATATATCTATGTACATATATATATAATGAATATAATTCAGTCTTAAACTTGCACTTCATTGAAACAAAAGCCAGATGATAGAACTTAGTGGCATAGGCTCATTTTGCTAGCATAGTGTAAAAAACCGGTGCTAGCTCTCCGTTAGAGTTATCAAATTCTTTATAGCTTAGTTACAATCGAACTTTAGAAGGCATTAGTTGTTTCTAATTCCATTCGGCGAGATAAGCGTCAGAAATGCGAGCCCAGAACGGCAAACTTTGGTCAACTTTGCACGAAGGTGCGTGTAGTTAATGTGTTTTCAAAATAAGCCTGTGTTTATATAATATTTTCAATAGCTTGCTGCATATCTAATTGTCAAACGTCGTTAGTTCCATTAACATTCATACTATATGTAGGACTTCTGTTAAGTTTGTCGGTAGAAAGTAGATATTAAATTAGATATCTAAAAATATAATTGTTTAACGCACATTAAAGCTTTTTGTTATGCTTTAAATACATAAAAATATGTAAAATAGTAATAATGAATCCTAACTTTTTTTAAAATTTTTTGTTTTTTGCGAACGTGTCACAACAGGCAAGTATGAAGTCTGCAGTCTGGCTAGGGAGGATTTGGAGGAAGCCCTTAATGTATGTATAAAATAAAAGTATATTACAAATAATAAACTGTATATTTGCATATACATGCGCAAATTCATCTACATTCATTCATAGTTAGTTATGTGAAAAATGTAGACCAGAAATTCAAATATGTTTGCGTTTTTTATTAAAGCTTAAAATTAGCCAGGCCGCATGATACGCTGAAAGCACGATACAAAAGCGATTTGGAGCGCCGAGTGCTCCGTGGCGTCGGTGGTGTAATGGTTAGCATAGTTGCCTTCCAAGCAGTTGACCCGGGTTCGATTCCCGGCCGACGCATGTTACTTTTTGCCTTTTTCTTATGTTGTGTTTTTGATTTTATTTATTTTTTAATGTTAAGTACGCATATTTCTGATTTTGCCATATTCTAGGTGCTGGACGACTCGTTCTTTATCAATGAATCAGTTTGCATCGCCTGTGAAATAAACTTGCCGCAAAATACGCAGGCGCGTCAAGAGTTGCGAGAGCTATGCCGTATCACTGCACAGGATGGAGTTTCCTTAATTATGAGACACGTGGAAAGCTGTCGGATTGTTGCCGTTTCCTTTAACAAGTTGCAGGCAAGTGGCATATGGGTCAACAATTATGTCTAGCCTATTTATAAACTTGTATTTAAATTCTAGTTCGCTCCTCCGCCTGGCGAGGATAATTTCTTTGTTAAGTTCTACAATGAGCAAGTGAAAAGTCCTCAGGCTAAAAGCCTCATGAATTATATGATTACGATGGACTCAAAGATCGACGTGTTTGCCGAATACAACCTGGATTGCGTATGTGAACTTATGTTTTTGGCCACTTTGCCGGAATTTCGGCGCCTGGGACTTGGTCGCGCTCTTGTTGAATCCACCGTTCAACTGACTCGTGAACTTGGGCAGGGTCGTGGCTTGCAGGATGTGGCAAAGGAATTGCAGGATAAACGTCCTGCGGCGGTCACTGCACTCTGGACCTCCGTCTACACACAAAAAATTGGCAATGCTGTGGGTTTTATGGTGCTGAACACAGTACCTTTCAATGAGTTTGAATTTAATGGCAAACGCTTTAATGAGCGTATTGGACCCGAGCATGAATTTAGTCAACAAGCTATGTACAAATTGTAAGAACAACAAATTGTCTCAAAAATATAAAAAAGCAAAAAAATTTCGATGTGCGTCGGCCGGGAATCGAACCCGGGTCAACTGCTTGGAAGGCAACTATGCTAACCATTACACCACCGACGCCACTGCAGTACGCATTCACTTTTGAGTACTTAAGCAACGTACGTTTAACAGTAATGGTTTATATTTTGCATATTATTTTATTTCTAAAATTTATTCTATGTTAAATAGCACAATGAGTTAACAGTTTCTGTTCTTGCGCTCATTTTATGAATACGTGCTTCCTTTATTTTAATTTAAATTAAATTTGAGTGCAAAAATGCAAGGTTTTTGTATTCGTTTATTCGTTCTGAACATTGTGATTAAATAAGGAATGAGTTTCTGGCCTTCAAAAAGGTACCCACAGACAACTGCAATGCCATGAATCGTTTATACTTATCCCAACCCTTTATAAGGTCCATTGTTGATTTCAATTTTTGCACTTTACATAAGCACTTTGAAAAAAATAAAGTAAAACTTTTCAAATGAGATTAAAATTTACACACATTGCGTTACCGAGCGAGCTCGGCCAGGCATGCACTCAAGAGGATTTCGCCAGCCTTAATGCTCAGTGTCAACACTGTGGATGGACGTGGACAGGGATCAAGGCATCAGTGTGATAAGTATTTCGGAGCGCCCCGGCCCGGATTGCTTGTCTACCTCAACAATACATTTGGGTTTTTAATTAGAATTCGAATAAAAAACGAATTGAAAATCGTTGTGCCAAATGACAATGCATTCAGATCGGGGCAACCCCCTTCGCCGGCAATTGCGTGTAATGATATAGGGTCCGGGGCATTGGCATTGGCATTAGACAGGGTAAGTCGGCATAGAGGCGGTTACGCTTGATTGTGCTATATGACGTGTACATAATTCGCAGCTTGATATTTACTAGAGTGCGGCAGTACTCAATTTACCAGAGCTTTAATTACATAGCAAAAGTTAGGGAAAACTTGGCAGGTGCTGGAATATAGAATATGGAATTTTTTAAATTTAATAATTGCGGTAGGATATGTCTTTTTGTGACAAAATGTATACTAAAACATGGCTAGTTCGATTCGTCCTTTGGCGCTGTACTCCTTTTTGTATAGAGTTTATATCTTCTGGCCTAAGCTGGGATTGTTTTTAGAACAAATTATCTAAACTATATAAGCTTTATTTCAAGTCGACTTAAATTTTGTTCACTACTTTCAGAGCCAGGATTTTATTTTATTCAAGTACGAAATTCTTGATGTCATAAATTAAACTAAATCTAAATTTTATAAATAACCGAGATTTGAAAACAGTGTTGTCTTAGCAAAATATGATATAACATTAAGAACAACAAATATGGGTATTTGATGTGAAAGTCTTCATTTGGGTTGGACCATCATCGTCTGGGCCCTGCGTTCTAGCTGTTATCCTCAATCGGTTGCCACTAGGCAACAACTTGATAAAATTGAAAACTAATTTGTTTATACAGCTGCACAAAACGAGCAGCGCTGGCAATGAAAACAACGAAGAGGCAAAACAATTTGTTTATCATGGGTAGCCTTAGTGAGGTCGCCGTCAACGATGATTTGGCAGTCGGTTGTCGGCAGGAGCAGGAGCAGGGGCAGGAGCAGGGGCAGCAACAGACACGGGAAAAAAGGACAACAAACAAGCTGGTTTGGGTTTGCAGGAAAGGCGCATCGCAATCAGCCAGGTTGAGGGGTGAATAGAGCTCTTGGTACTCGGATCTCGCATATTTTGACACCCCTGTCTGGATTGTTTGATATGCGCGCCGTAAGATATGCAGCAGATATTCGTGCAATAGAAGCATTTTAATGGAGTTGTTTCGCCCGAATGCTAGACAATGCAAATATTTGCATTTGTATTCGGCGCTTTGCTAATGCTTAAAAATTATGCTGGTTGACAAATTCTTTTTTTTATTTATTTTCTGAGTCTTTGTTTGGCTGCCACACTTCATTAATTAGACTTAGACGCTGTTCGAGCAAAAGCATCGAATCATCCTTATGTCATTGGAGCAGCAAACAAATTGCAGCTGTTCTGTGTCCTATCTTCCGTGTATCATGTACGCACGCCTGCCGCCCACTAATTCACTGCCAATCAAGCGATACACTTGTCCTGCGCATTCCATTCTTAAGCATATATGTATGCCGTGGCACTTGAATGCCATTTGGACAATAATTCCGCTTAAACAGATAAACGTGCCCGGAATCAAAGAATAATTTAATGTGTCTACCATATGAATACAGCGCATATATATCTCTCCCCTGGCCAACAACAACAATAGGGAGAAAAAACTCAAACTTAATAAGCTTATAACACCCCAAATGCAACCCTGGCGAGTGCAAAGTTTCGACTGCCTCACGCTGATTGGCCAGCAGCAGCACGGACTCCGCCCATTTGGCCACACTTTTTGCTTTGATGTGGCACCGCCATTGATATGATAGACGTTGTTCTACGGTGTGCGTTTATACGGAATAGCCAACCCTCGTTCGACTCTTATCGGACGTGTCCTGCTCCTGGTCCGGGAACTGTCATTCGTTTTGTGGCTGTCGGCGCGTTCGCTACCAAATCGCGCTTCAATGTTGCAATTCGCGGTCGAAATAATTTAAACATTTCGCATTGGCATTGTCTATTGGCGTAGTATTAGACGGACTATGAGTGCTAAAGAGTGCGTTAGGATCTGATATATAAATTATTTGTGTGCAATTCGAAAGTATTTTGATTGTGGTGTATTTTAAGCCTAGAGGATATTGGATACAATCAGTGGAACAAGGTAAAAGTCGAAGCAGCTGCTGCCTGGTACCGTCGGTAGTCTATAATTGAAAGAATTACTTTTAGATTAGAGATAAATAGATAATAATCAAAATACTTTTTAATTTTTAATAACAAAACGTAAAGCCTTTGTCTATTTATATTAAGTAATATCTGCATTAAAGCATAAATTAATTATAATTATAACTCAAATATTTGAAGAAAATATAATGCATACTACCCCATCAATACAAAGATATTTTCATGCAACTCAGCCTCGATCGATTGTTTTTATCAAAAATGTTTCGAAAACATTATAAGAATCTCTGTAATATATATGTAAGAACTAAAGAGTCTCTTCTGGTGTAACTTGTAGGATTTGGGACTAATATTCAGATATTTATTTATGAATGACTTTTTTTTTTTTGGAAAGCAGGTGAATATGGGGCCCATCGATGCGAGAGTATTCAAGTTTATAAAGTGAAGAATCTCTGCATGAGTAAAAAGAGAGCAACTTTTCAATTAAGCTAGTTTAAGTATAAATTTTGTTGTTATGATCAACATTATCAATTTTTATTAAGTGATAACGCTTCAAATTTTGTGTTTATAGATAGATCATTGTATCGAATCATTGTAATCGATTCTTATCGATTTTAGTAATACGGGAAGATTTATACATTCACATGAATAGACGGTCAGACAGGGGTAGATCATCTCAGCTGTTGATGATGATCAAGGATATGTTTGAGATCGAAGATGCCTCTGGGAGTCTCTGGGAGTTCTATATAATTGCAAAACAGAACAACGTATGTACAGGGTATAAAAGTCAATTTTGTTTAGAATATTGAGATTTTGTTTCTGTGGAAATTTTCAACAATTAGAATTAAGTACGGATTCTTTAGGAACTACGCATTTCCTGTTCTATAATCCTTTAATATTCAGATAAGTTTTATATTACAAACTTCCCTGATCCCATATGCAGTTCAAAGGGTGTGTGATATCTAACCAAGCCGAAGCTCTATCTTATCTTATCAGTTGTATTTGTATGTTAAACATGTTTATTATCTAGTTAACAACTATTACCACATCGACATGAATTTATATGATTACTCAAAAAACTGTATAAAAATGATGTTGTTTATCCTTTTCAGATTGTTCAGCTACTGCTAAAAATCAAGAGTCAAAATCAACGGCACGCGCCGCACTTGTTCCACGCAGGAGACGATCAAATCGAGTCGTAAGGTTCCTCCGTCCGGCACGTGCTGAGCACGCGTCGCCAATCAGATTTATATCCGGAGGCGTTTTTTTTTACGTTATGCACTTAAGCAGCCACTTGTCGGACAATTAGCTGACATTAAATTTAATAGGACAAAGGAAAAGCCAGAGAGAGAGAGAAAGAGAGAGAGAGAGAAAGAGAGAGAGAGAGAAAGAGAGAGAGAGAGCGAGAAATATAAAATGTTTTCCATGGACAATTTCGACTTGGAGGCCACCATGGCTCGGCATTTCTTTGAGGGATCGCAGGCGACCAACGCCTCGAACTCCAGCTCCGAGTACTACTTTGGCGACGAGCACAGCTCGGAGAGCGACGACGATGACGATGCGTACAGCAGCGGCTTCAACAGTGACCAGGAGAACAACGAGAAGACGTAAGTCCACCTCGAACGGGTTACTCGAGCTCAGGTGCTCCGATAATAATCGATTCCAGCTACTCTCTGTTTAGCCGGCGCAGTCATAAGCCGCGCCGCTTGAAGTGCGCCTCCCAGATGGCCCAGCAGCGGCAGGCGGCGAATCTTAGGGAGCGACGACGAATGCAGAGCATCAATGAGGCATTCGAGGGTCTGCGTACCCATATACCAACATTGCCCTACGAGAAACGTCTCAGCAAGGTAAGAAATGCCTAAACACGTTTTTAATTAGAAACTAATTTTAGGTATTAATCAAAATTCATATCTTATGCTAAATGTTTATTGATTGAAAGCCGCTGAATGGGAATTCGAATCCACCTATTTTCCGTGTTTAGTAGCGTATGTTTAATTCGATCGGAATAATATGGAAATTTTCCCATAATCCTAGCCACCAACTATCAGAAGAAGAGAATAGCGAAGCTATAATTTATTCGATTGGAGGATCTGAAGATCTCTTTGTTTCCTTTTTAGGTCGATACGCTAAAGCTGGCCATTAGTTATATAACCTTTCTGAGCGAAATGGTCAAGAAGGACAAGAACGGCAATGAAGCTGGGCTCAGCTTGCAGCGCAACTACC